TCTCTCAATGTAATGAACACTCTGTGAAAATTTAATGACGGAACACGCCGTAGTTTCCAAGAAAATAAATATTTTTCAAGTTTTTTCAACAAAGCACCCGGTCTACGGTTTGGCACAACTTTTACTATCGACTGAATCATTTCTCTCAATGTAATGAACATTCTGTAGAAAATTCATGACGGAACACGCCGTAGTTTCCAAGAAAATAAATATTTTTCAAGTTTTTCCAACATAGCTCCCGGCCTACGGTTTGGCACAACTTTTTCCATCGACCGAATCATTTCGATCAATGTAATGAACACTCTGTAGAAATTTCATGACGGAACACGACGTAGTTTCCAAGAAAATAAATATTTTTCAAGTTTTTTCAACATAGCTCCTGGCCTACGGTTTGGCACAACCTTTTTCTATCGACTGAATCATTTCGATCAATGTGATGAACACTCTGTAAAAATTTCATGACGGAACACGCCGTAGTTTCCAAGAAAATGAATATTTTTCCAGTTTTTTCAACATAGCTCCTAGCCTACGGTTCGGCACAACTTTTTTTATCGACTGAATCATTTCTCCCGATGTAATAAACACTCTGTAGAATTTTCATGACAGAACACGCCGTAGTTTCCAATAAAATGAATATTTTTCAAGTTTTTTCAACATAGCACCCGGTCTACGGTTTGGCACAACTTTTTCTATCGACTGAATCATTTCTCTCAATGTAATGAACATTCTGTAGAAATTTCATGACGGAACACGCCGTAGTTTCCAAGAAAATAAATATTTTTCAGGTTTTTCCAACATAGCTCCCGGCCTACGGTTTGGCACAATTTTTTCTATCTACTGAATCATTTCTTCCAATGTTATGAACACTCTGTAGAAATTTCATGACGGAACACGACGTAGTTTCCAAGAAAATGAATATTTTTCAAGTTTTTTCAACATAGCTCCTGGCCTACGGTTTGGCACAACCTTTTCCATCGACTGAATCATTTCGATCAATGTGATGAACATTCTGTAGAAATTTCATGACGGAACACGCCGTAGTTTCCGAGAAAATGAATATTTTTTAAGTTTTTCCAACATAGCTCCCGGCCTACGGTTTGGCACAACTTTTTTCATCGACCGAATCATTTCGATCAATGTATTGAACACTCTGTAAAAATTTCATGACGGAACACGCCGTAGTTTCCAAGAAAATAAATATTTTTCAGGTTTTTCCAACATAGCTCCCGGCCTACGGTTTGGCACAATTTTTTCTATCTACTGAATCATTTCTTTCAATGTAATGAACACTCTGTGAAAATTTCATGACGGAACACGTCGTAGTTTTTCAAGAAAATTAATATTTTTCAAGTTTTTGCAACATAGCTCCCGGCCTACGGTTTGGCACAACTTTTTCCATCGCCCTAATCATTTAGATCAATGTAATGAACACTCTGTGGAAATTTCATGACGGAACACGTCGTAGTTTCCAAGAAAATGAATATTTTTCAAGTTTTTTCAACAAAGCACCCGGCCTACGGGTTGGCACAACTGTTTCCATCGACTGAATCATTTCGATCAATGTAATGAACTCTCTGTGAAAATTCCATGACGAAACACGCCGTAGTTTGCAAGAAAATAAATATTTTTCAAGTTTTTCCCAATCTAGCACTCAATGACTTTTCACAGTTTTGTTAAACATACTGGTTTGTAAATATTTCCTTCAAGTTTTTTCTCATACTCAGCGAAAAAAAAATTAATGTGGCAACACTGTATAAGATTAAATCGCTGCATCATGGAAAATTTCCCCTACGTCAGAATTTGTGGATGAAGGTTTGTGGATAACTTCACACTAATGAACTTTCTTACTGACACATATTTTGCCATTGTCAATATCAATATGTCGAGCCTTTCATAAACTCCTTATACATATATATACCTATGGATAATCCGATAATCTTAATATGATTCTTCAGGAATGCAGAACTTGTCGAAGTAGTGGTGATTGGGGGTTAGGGGAATAGACATAAAACATTGAATCGATATTGGGTACCTATTGAATTTACCCTTCAATTTCTAAAATTCGACCTATTTATTTCTAAAAATTGAAATAAATATTGGTAGGTAAACACACCAAATAGATAGATTATACAGAGTGGTTCAAAAATTATGACCAGATGAAGTTTTTGCCAAAATCAAGATAACGTCCTGTATCTCAGTTTTAACACGTTGACTACCAAGCCTGATTTCAACATTCTGACCCAGGGTACCATATGTATCACCGGTGATGCTTTTTCATAGTTCACTTCTGTACTTTATGTATCACCGGTGATAATGAACACATATTATTTGAATGCTTGTAGAGAAGCCTAGTGTATAAACGAAGGAATTAGATTGTGGGTATGGTACAGGTATGAACCAAATAATATCGGGTTGAAGTGGGTATCACCAGTGATACACATAAATCTGGAAAATGCCTATAGAAATTGACTGGATTATTCTGATGAAAAGACGCACCGCTCACTCTCTTGTCAATTTTTTATTGAAATTGTTACTCATAAGTAAATGATAATCTTATCAATAATCATTGTACAAAGAAAATACTGATGTTTTTTTTTTGAAAACAGTCCAAACAGTATGAAGGTTTCTCGGGGCATTCCGCGTAAAAGGTGGTAACCAATTTTGTATATTTTTCTGCCATCTTTGAATTTTTGCGTACTCCTCGAAATACGTTTTTCGTCTTAATTGTCCATTATTTTCTGATGAATGTTTGAATAAAGGCGCTCATAATCGAAGAAAAAACAACAAAATATAAGGAGTTCCCTACAATCATATGATGAAATAGTTCATTTATGTACCATGTGAATCACCGGTGATCTTTCAGCAAACTCTATCGAGATGAAGGCATCTGCTTCAAAATACAATATAGCGACATCTTGTAGCGAAAGGCTACGTTTTGAGTTTGATTCTTCACTTGGTACAGAGAGGAAGTATGCGATTTTTTACGGTGGTTTGTAGAGCAAATGAGAGTGTGCATCACATGAGACTCATATGGTAGCCAACGTGTTAAAAGACGGTAGACACATCAAAATGAGGGTTGATTTATTGAAATCATCAGTGTCCTCTATCTACAGGAACTGTTTGAACATTTAAACCCAGTATAGGTAAACAATTTAACAAATTTACTAATATAGGCACATGGACATGGTTGAGGTATACTGAGGTATAAATGTAGTTATAATTGCTTACACCTAAAATACATTCTAAATAAATTTAATGCCAAATGGCAAATTTTATTCAGACCTGGAAATTGGAATGTGTAAAGTAAATAACTTATCTCTGTTTATACCTATACTTTATACCTACACATCAGTATTACTGATTTCTACATTTCCAAATTTGGGTTCATGTGACATATTTGCATAAATCATTTGTTAAATAAAACCGAGAATGAAACATTCATTTACTATTGAATTATTAGTTATCATTAGTTACGTATTTTTTTCAGGTAAAATGAAATTCGTTTTTTAATAAGTTCATATTTATATATTTCCAAATCGTCCAACAATAAATTCTTGAATCTTTGATTTATTCCACCTTATATTATTATATAATAATTACCCATATACTGGGTGTACTTGAAGTCCATAAAAGCCACAGATGGAAATGTTGAGAAATAGATAATTTATATGTAGGTTTAGTACGGGTGATTCCCAAAAGTTTATATTTTCCCATAGCACTATTTTTTCGAGACATTCTTGCATGGTACGATCTTAATGAAAACCATTTCAGGTCCACAGTAGGTATTTACACATAGGTGTAAACCTATATAATATGTATTATATTATTATGGTAAATTATAGCATATATACATACATATATTTTAATATTAAATATGATGAACAAGTCACCTGAAATAATTCTATTTCAAATTTGAACTGGAATATAGAATGATATATAGGGGTTATATGAAGTCATTAATTCTGGTCTGGACATTATAGTCCACATTTTGGTATATAAGTAGGTGAAATATTCTTGCCTACTATTATTTGTGACGCATGAGTGTTGACATTTTTGACATTGGGAGCAGTGAGCTGTATAATTTTAATACATAGTCACAAAATATTTTTCCCTACATTAAGTTACAGATTTTGAATTAGGAATCTTCGATATTTTCCGAGGGGTAAATCTCCTTGAAAGTCCAGTATACATTTCATTGGAAGTCTCTGGAATTCTTTGAAGGAAATAATTTATGGTTATTGAACAAAAGTATTGTTAGTAATATTATATGTATTGGATATAAACAAATTACCTCCAATTGGATTTTCAATCAGGCACCTACTTCTTAATTACAAGGACAGCCTCGAAAAAAACTGAAGATAATGGATCCGCATGTAGTAGTCAATTACATCATCATAACTTAGCAAATTTGAATTCCAGTTGCTCCGATGGAGCGTGTTAGAGGATTTTCTGTGATTTGATCCTATACCGAACCTGAGAGACATGGTGGTTGAAAGAATTTACGCAAAAAAAATATTTTCAAAAATGAAAATCGACGTGTCCAAGGATTTTTCGAAATATATGTCCGTTATGGGGATACAGATTTCATTTCATCATTAGATTTCCACAATGTATGGAAGCAAACATGCAAATAGTGTATGCTAAACTACTAATATGAACATTTAGTTCCCTATATCTGATGGTAAATTTTCACTCGAGTAGTGGAAGTCATTGGTATATTGACTGTTGACTGGAAGTCTTTGGTAGTCACTGGAAATCTTTGAGAGTCTTTGGAAATCACTAGAAGTATTTGGAAGTCTTAGGAAGTCTTTGGAACACGTCACTGGAAGTCTTTATAAGTTTTTGTTCATTGGAAGTCTGGTGTACACATTTTTCCCGGAGATTTAGCCCTCGATATTTTCTCAGTAGGTTTTTTTTTCCTCGAATACTTATAGCCATCATATCAAAACTTTAAAATTTCGACAGCCCATTGACGAAATTAATACTTTTCGATTTTTTTAGAGGCTTAACGAGACATGAATCAGCCTTCAGGGCTTCTAGACCGTCTCTCGCCTCGACCCATGGTATGCCCTCTAGTCCGATTAGGACATAATTCTAGTACTGACGAGACTGCAGTTTCCTCTGAAGGGGCCAGCACGTATGCATCCGAAAACTACAATTTCAGGTCTCAGTATCACAATTCCTATGAGGCAAATAATGACAGATTTCACAATAAACAATTGTCAATTGACAAAAGTTATTTGCAGAAACAGTCTCCAGAGTCTGACTACTTGGTAAACATTTTTTTTCCAGAATAATAATTCCAGATTATATCGAATTTGGTGTTTTAGCAAAACTACTATCAACCACATGCATACCTAAATGAAGGCTCAGATTTTCAGACGAAATATGAACCAAGCTCACGCCAGTCACCACTGGACCATAACCTGCCATACCAAAATAAGAACTCATTGGATCTGTCATTTACCATTAGTCAAAACTACTGGGACCATCACGAGAACTATGAAAAAATCCAGAATACACAGTCCAACAGCCAGAATTATTTCAGATCGCCAAACCACCAACCTACAGAACAAAACTATCTATTAGATAACTTCACGAAACTGGGGAAATCTAGTCCAAGCCTCGACCAGGGGTACCACACCTTGATGGTGTCTGCTAGTCCAGGTACCACCAACTTGTGGAACGGCAATCTCTACAAGGGCAAGAAGTACCAGTCGAAAAACAACTCGTTCGATAGGCTTCCCGATGAACTGGTTGTCAAAATTTTCTCTTTTCTCACCAGCGTTGACCTCAGCATAACAGCACAAGTGTGTAGGAGATTCGACATTTTAGCGTGGACTCCCTCACTTTGGCGAGTCATAACCTTAGACGATGATGGCGTTAGCGGGGACAAAGCTATCAGGGGCGTACTGAGGCAGCTTTGCGGGCAAGGCAGAACGGGGGCCTGCCCTAGCGTTGAAAGGGTGCATGTGACGAACGGTGCTAAGTTATCTGATAAGAGTCTGTTGCTGTTGGCCAGGAGGTGTCCGGAACTGACTCATTTGCAGCTGCAGGGGTGTAGCAATCTGACTAACACTGCGATATTCGAGGTTGCTACTAGGTGTAACAATTTACAACATTTTGATATAACAGGTGATTAACGATGGTAGTTGGATGGTCGATTATTGGCATCCGAAGGGTTGCCTTGATTTTGACTAGTTATACCTCAAAATAGCTGAAGGATTATGAAAAAAAAAACGAAAATCGATACTTATTTGTTTTTTTCTTTTTCTAGAATATGAATGGGAGAAAATCATATGGATGTAATTTCTGGTAGAATGACTATTTCTTTTGTAGCAACGTTTTGACCTCTGAATTCAAATTTGACGTCGTGGTCTCGAACACCTCCACCATTTATTCAATTTTTTCGAATACGGACCTGGTTGTTTCATTGAATTTTGTGAAAGATCAAAAATGAAAATGAAATTCAATGTGTCCTTATTAATAATCTTTATATTTTGTTGGGTAGGTATTTGAAATGAACATTCAACGAGTTGGTAACTTCATTTTTGGGCTGTAATCATGGCCAATTACGACCACTTATATGGGCTCAAATTTCAAAAAGTTATATTAAGAATTCTCAATTGAAATCATCCAACAAAAAGTTTTTGAAAATGGATAAAAATATGGGCGATTCTTTTATAGGGGAAGTAGGTCCTTAACGAGGATACACTGTATTTTATAAAAAATGTTATCTCTAAGATTTTATGAAACGTCCAGGTCCGTATTTGGAAAGATGTAATTGATGGTGGAGGAGTTCGAGACCGAAACGTTGGATTCGAACCAGGAGACAAGAAAAATTGTCTCCTTATTAGTCTCAAAGATGGAAAAAAACAAAATGCGATTTGATTTCCGTTTTTTTTTTAAGTACCTATACCTACCTATATAATAAAATTTTTTCGTATTCTTCAATCTGATCAGCATTAATTTTTAGGTTGTGTAAAAATATCTTGTATAAGTATAAACAGTGGACCCGAGCCCCCTAGGCGGCTGCAACTTCAATATCTTGATTTGACAGATTGTGTTGCAGTGCAAGACAGTGGACTGATGGTTATTGTGAGAAATTGCCCACAGCTTTCTTATCTTTATCTACGAAGATGTGTACAAATAACTGGTGAGTTGATAAGTCTGGAAGCAGCTCAAAATTAATAATATTTTCTCTACAATGTCTGAGGGAGATCATCTCAATAATATAAATGTCACTTTTCTCTTATTTTTTGACCTCTATACAGGGTATTAATAGGTATTTCTCTTTTTGAGCAAAACAGGGTTTGGAAGTGCGATTGAAAAATTGTTTATTTTTCCATTGGTATGAGATGTGTGTGTTTTTTGTATTTATTCATTCATATTTGTATTCAGGAGATCAGTTCATAGTGAGTAGCATAATTTTTGAGATACCAGGTTGGAAGTGTCGAAAACTTGTTGGTGATGGTGATGAAATGAAAATATCAAATATCTAAACCTAACATCAGTTGAGCACTTCGAAGGTGTAAATTCATTACTGCATGGGAGATACCCTTCAGATTTTTAGCTATTCAGTGACTCCACCACGAATGACATTCCGGAAACGGTAGCCATTTGGAGGCCCGCCGTAACCTCTGGAATACGATGTCGGTGTCGTGTTTCAGATGCCGGCCTGAAGTACGTGCCAAGCTTCTGTTCGTGTCTCAGGGAGCTGAGCGTTAGCGACTGCGCGAGCATCACGGACTTCGGCCTCTACGAGCTAGCCAAGCTGGGCGCCGCCCTGCGGTACCTGTCAGTGGCGAAGTGCGATCAGGTGAGCGACGCCGGGCTCAAGGTCATAGCGAAGAAGTGCTACAAGCTGCGGTACCTGAACGCGCGCGGCTGCGAGGCCGTTTCGGACGACGCCATCACGGTCCTGGCCAGGTTAGTCCATGGCATGGGTCCATGCACTCATGCACTGATCTATTCATAGGTCAGTGGGTCCATATGGCACTCCTCCGAATGGGCCGGAGTGACTTCTGTAATTTTTTCTCGAACCTGACCAGGCAATCCTGGTTAACTTTATTATCTGACGTCACGGTAACTTTATTATGTCGTCAAAGTTTACTTGTGAAGCTTGACAGATGCTTGGTTATTTCCCTGTTTGGATTTAGTAGTAATACTAATATATTGAATAAGAAATTCATCATCTGTAACAAAAATATATTCTAGATTGGAACTCAAAGTCGGTCGACCACAATATTTAATATAAAAATAATCAGTGTGTGACTATAGTTTCGGCTCTACGGCCATCTTCAGACACAATGAAAAAGTACCTGTTATGTAGAAAACATCTTAACAATAAAAATAATTATCGGGTCGTTATAACCAAGGGTCAATCCAGCCTCTCATTCAACAAAATTTGTGACGGCTGAAAAGCCAAAAGAAGTTCAGCATTAGGAAAAATGGAAAAAATTTTATTATTGGAAATCTACTCAATTGAGCTTCATCTAACTGCTGTTAGATATAAAAAGGTATAAAAGTGAGTAGGTACTAGGTATGTCATGTAAATTTTCTTTATCAATACTAAATGGAAAACAGCAACCAACCTAACCGTATACCGTGTGGTGGTCGGATTAGAATAACCCCACGGTAAGTCCTGCCTGTCGTAGAAGGCGACTAAAAGGACGCCAATAGGTGGAAGATGGTTAACGCCATCGCCCGGTGCGATACCACCACATCAACCATAGGCACTGTGAAATGGGTATACTTACCCGTGTTTCAGTAGCTGGTTGATGTTCCGGCCAACCCAACCCAACCCAATTTCCTTTTCCTTCCACGCCAACCTCCCTTCTTTATACAGAATACGCGATGATGAGTTCTCCTCAAGTGAAATTATCCGGAAGTAAAATACCTCTCCATTCGGATTTCCGGGCGAGAGGTGCTAGAGGGGGTTCACCATCGGCTCAAAAAGTCCTCAAGATAGACCTATGCAACATCCGAGGTCTAAGTAAGAACATCAACGATGTCCATCGACACCTTCAAATTGAAAAGCCAGACATATTGGCTCTTACTGAGACACAGGTCAATTCATCCACCAATACGACCTATCTGCTCTGTCCTGGGTACGAACTCCACACACGTTTCAGATTCAAGGGAGGTCTCTGCCTCTACTCTAAAACGAATCTCTCATGTCAACGAGAAAAAACTTTGGAACCAAATAAGTTTGATGTCATGTGGTTCAAACTCGATAGCCAGAAACAGACCAAATACCTTTGTTGTCTCTACTTATCACCAAATGATCCATCCTATGAAGAGCTCTTCGAATTCTTGTCTCTGAAGCTTGACCAAATTCAACAGAACCATCCAGCAGCAGAAATCATCATCATGGGCGATTTCAATGTACACAACACTGCTTGGCTCGTACACTCTAACAGAACGGATGAAGCTGGGCGACAAGCCGAAGCTTTCGCCATCACTCACGGCTTAGAGCAGCTTATCAAAGAACCCACACGAATTCCCGATGCCAATAACCATTCAGCTAACATACTTGACTTATTCCTCACTAATAATTCAGCACCCTACACCATAGATGTACGAGCTCCACTTGGCAATTCTGACCACACACTCATCTCCACAACCTGCCCATTTTTCATTCCATCAACTGCCCCGGCACCCCCACGTCTTATATGGCATTACAATTCAGGAGATTGGGACGGACTCCGCATGTTTTTCTCCGAGTTTCCTTGGCATAGAGTATGCTTTGACTCTGAGGACTCTTCACAGTGTGCTGCGGAAATATCCGAGATCATCATGCTCGGAATGGACACATACATACCTCATTTTTCGAAAAGATCATCACCTTCGAAATCCTGGTTCAACAAAAACTGTTCTAGAACTGTTGCCTTGAAACAAACAGCCTACCATCGCTGGCGCAAAAACCCTAACCTCGCGACTAGAGCAGAATACGTTGATGCCAGGAATAACTGCAGCCAAACAATAGATGCTTCGAAAGAAACATACAATGCCAAGATAAGATCGAAACTCATAGATTGCCCCAATGGCTCCCGTTCGTTTTGGTCCCTTGCTAAAGCGGTCGGAAGAAATTTCACTAATAGTTCATTTCCACCACTGTCCAAATCCGACGGCACAGTAGCAACAACATCGCAGGAGAAAGCGAATATTTTTGCAGAGATGTTCGCAGCAAACTCTACTTTAGATTCCCAAGGAAAACTGCCGCCACACATTCCACCCGTTGAGAGTCGAATGCCCGAAATCGTCTTCCGTCAACGCACTATCAGACGAATTTTGCTTGGTCTCAAAACGAATAAGGCTAACGGTCCTGATGGAATCCCACCCATTGTCCTCAAAAAATGTGCACCAGAATTAACACCGATTCTCTGCAAGTTGTTTACCATCTCGTACAGGTCGGGTGTTTTTCCATCATGCTGGAAGACAGCTAGAGTCCAACCAATCCCCAAAAAAGGGAACAAGAACCTGCCCAACAACTACAGGCCCATTGCCCTGTTATCAGTAATCTCCAAAGTGATGGAGAAAGCCATCAATATTGAGCTTATCAAATATCTGGAGAGCTCAGGAATCATCAATGATAGACAATACGGCTTTCGCCACCGAAGATCTACTGGAGATCTACTTGCCTACGTCACCCATTTATGGCAATCTTCAATAGAAAAACACGGGGAATCTCTGGCTGTCGCGTTGGACATATCGAAAGCATTCGACCGTGTTTGGCACGAAGGACTCCTCCACAAACTACCATCATACGGCTTACCACCTCAGCTATGCCATCTCTTATCGAGTTTTCTTTCAGGCAGATCGCTTCACGTGGTGGTGGACGGTGTATCGTCTGATACCATTGGCATCAATTCCGGCGTTCCACAAGGATCAATTTTGGCACCAACATTATTCCTGCTTCATATCAATGATCTGTTGGGAGTAACAACTTGCCCCATCCACAGCTTTGCAGATGATAGTACCCTCCATACTGCGTTCTCTCCCAGAATTCCCATTTCTTCCCAGGAAACTAAGAACTCACGGTGCAGGCAGGTCAATGCTGTCAATGAAGATCTTGCTGAAATCACAGCCTGGGGAACGAACAACCTAGTTGAATTCAACGCCACCAAAACTCAAGCCTGCATTTTCTCTAGAAAGGCGGAACTCAGTATGCCCGATATTGTAATGTCTGGCTCCACCATCCCCACCAAGCCCACCATATCTATGCTCGGTATTTCCATCAGCAACACTCTTTCGTGGGATAATCATGTCAGATCCATCGCAAAAGCTGCTTCACAAAAACTCGGATTCTTGTTCCGTGCGAAAAGCTACTTTACACCTCAACAGCTTCTCATGATCTACAAAGCGCAGATACGGCCTGTTCTAGAATACTGTTCCCACATATGGGGTTCAGCACCAAAACATACGCTGATGCTCTTAGATTCCATCCAGAGAAGAGCCATTCGCCTGGTGGGTGACGCCACACTCACTCACTCTTTGACATCATTGGAACACCGTAGAATGGTCGGCGACCTTTCACTTTTCTATCGATACTTCCACGGGAAATGTTCTTCGGAAATCTCTGCAATCATCCCTTCACTAGCAATACCAATCAGACGAACTAGACAAGCCCAGTCAGCACATCCTTTTGTTGTCAACCTCGAAAGATGTCGAACAGCACTTTATCAAGACTCCTTCATCCATAGAACGGCTAGGCTCTGGAATTCATTGCCTGTGGAAGTATTCCCAACAACATATAATCTCCAAAAATTCAAAAAAAATTCCAATACCTACCTCCTGTCCCTATCCTCCCTAGGAACGCACGATGTTCTTTGAACATTATAGGGATTCCCTTTCGTGCGCTCCAATCGATAAAAAAAAAAAAAAAAAAAAACCTAACAAAAAAAAAAGATTTTATTGGTTTTGTGAAATGAAGAAAAACTAAAATTGTAAAAATAGTTAGTGTGCATAAAAAATATTGTTATTCACATACTATTATTTAAGTGTCCATTGCACACTTTCAAGAAAATATTCCGTTACGAGAGGAATACAAAAATTATTTTTTTATAAAATCCCAATAATAATATGAGTATATTGTGGATTAAAAGTAATTTTCAGAAAATAATTATACTTTGTATTTGAAATAAAGAAGTTGGTTGCACTTCCTGTCAAACCGGAAGTGTCATATTTGGTCTTATACTAGCGAAATTATACAAACATGAAATCGAATCGATATACCAAACTTGAATTGGTGAAGTGGTTCCGGGTCACCCGGTATACGGGGTGGCCATGAGAACCAGGCCGCCCCTGAACCTTCTGAATCGTTCGAGATGAAATTTTGAAATTCGGTGGGTTCATATAACATCATATTTTGCATTCACTGATATGATTATGCTTTTCATGTTACTTCCGGTGTCTCCGGAAATGACCTCTGCTTTTTATTTTCACTGTATATTTTATATTTTTGGATTCCGAAGATCATTTAACATACAGTTGTATAATTTTCTGGTGAAAATTTTCTGAGCGTCAATTTTTAATTTGATTTTTGGTATCTTATCTAGGTGGCTGTTCATGGCCTAAAATCGGCTCTCCGAATGATCTTAAATGATTTTTCTAGAATAAATTTGCTTTTTCGATGGAATGATGGTGGACCAGGTAAATTTTTTTGAAGAATATTTCTCAACTAATCAATTGATACCACATTTGTCAATATCTGATTGATAATCGAAACACAAAATGGATAAAATCAATCTTTGTGTAAAAATCATACAACTGTATGTAAAATGATCTCCTAAATCAAAAAGTGAGAAAATATACAAGGTGTCCCATTTGAAAATCGAAAGTTGAGGTAATTTCGTCTGAAACCGGAAGTAATTCAAAATGTGTAATCGTATCAGTGACTGCTAAAAAATATGTTTTTTGAACCCTCCAAATTTCATAATTATACCTTAAGTGATTCAGAAGTTACAGGGGTGGCCCGGTTCTCGTGGTCACCCAGTATATGGTTTCCTGCACAAATGTCAAAATCGCAAAAGTGGCGTATTCGCCATATACCTACTAAACATATACGGATAACAAGGATCTCCAAGTGAAGCCAAAAAATAAAATAAATGACAGTCTGCGAGCACAACTGTATTACAGCACATGCATCATCTAAAAATAAGAAAAGACATCAGTTTGCAAATTTTTTTTCAGCAGGCGATGGCTTCCGAATGAACATATGAGTATTATTAAAACTTTCGTGGAATGTACGACATAACCTAAAATTCAATATTTATATTTTGTTATCTGAATCTGAAGCCTCAGACAAGAAATCATGACCGAGAGACCGAGACTCCCCTGGAATTCATACTTGCGAAATTTTGGTGCTTTTGATGAAGCAAACAGCTTTAATTCGCGGTTTTGGAACGAGTTTGCTGAAGTTCTTTGTCTCAGAATACTTCGAATAATGGCCAACAAGTGCAAGACATTATAAACATACAAATTAACAGCTTCCCAAGATATGAATGGGAAAGAGGAAGGTCACTTCGATACAAAACTTGAATATGTCTCTAATCATTCTTCAGCTATATCAACCAAATCATCGGAAAAATGTTCACGGAGGAATATTATTTTCAGTAAGAAACTTCAACAACATAATAATACATTAATAAAATTTAAATGAAATTCGTCCTCCATTTTGACAAATCACCCGCAGACTGTCATTTGTTTCCTCAAAACTGGCTTCACTTTTGACCATGGAAACATAGGATGTTATCCGTATAATATGTTTAGTAGGTATATGGTATTCGCCCTATCGCAAAAATACCATCCAATTGTTACCGTAAGTCTGCCCCGCTAGGTCGTGCACCAGGCTAAGGGCGCTGGACATCGGCAAGTGTGACGTCAGCGATGCAGGCTTGCGCGCCCTGGCGGAGAGCTGCCCGAACCTGAAGAAGCTGAGCCTGCGCAACTGCGACCTGGTGACCGACAGGGGGGTGCAGTGCATCGCGTACTATTGCAGGGGGCTGCAGCAGCTGAACATCCAGGATTGCCAGATCTCGCTAGAGGGGTACAGGGCTGTTAAGAAGTATTGCAAGCGGTGTGTGATAGAGCACAGCAATCCGGGATTTTTTTGATATTTTTTATTGTTTATTGAGTGTAAATTTGTTGAATATTTATTTTTGTACATTTGTATATCAATATATTTTATTATATTTCCTAATAAAATAACGTTGAATTGAATGAAAACGAGGGTCATTTTCAACTTTTTTACTCGTGCTCCTTAAAAAGACTCTGCGAATGGGTTTATTTGCGCGAGGAATACATTGGCAACACTTTGATTCCTATGCATTCATTTCGACTGTTTTCAATAGTGTACAATGTCAGGCGCATTCGCTGCCTAATTATTTGGAATTGGGAAGGGGGCCAACTTGGAACAGGAGAAAACAGTAAGTAAGTAAGTAACTAAGTAAGTATATGTTCTTCGTTGGTATATGTATGAACTACAGATTAACGTTTATTCATACCAAATGGCCATCGACCTTACGAGAGGTTCTTCAGCCCATGTGTGTTCTGTGTAGGCTTTGTTATCAACTACATACGTCACCTTAGGAGCAGCACTGTTGATTGGAACGCAACAGCGAATCGTGCGGAATCATCTCCGGTCGAGGCTACGAAAATTAGAATGTATAACTTTTTTTATAAATAAGAATTATCTGCTCTGCCGGGTATCGAACCTAGCAACCTTTTGGTGTTCTGTAGTCGAGTGCTCAACCACTGCGCTATTCCCCAATGGAGAAGACAATTTTTATTTTCTTCCAAATTACTCATTTATTTTATTTTACTCATTTCTCCTTAGTTTCTGAAGTGATCCTCAGATGCCCTCGAAGGTGACGGGATATCCTGTTTAATAATTTGGAATCTCCACCAAATCTGGGAAGCGCTAAGCTCAGGAATCGAACGCATGCCCTCTTTGGAGAACTAGTTGATTATTTTCAAGGCGTTAGGAAATATCGCAGGATGTTTAGTTGAATTGAAGAGCCCGTTAGCTTATCTTCTGACATTCTTCGTCAGTTCATTTGAAATATCCGTGAACCGTCAAATTCTGGCAGATATTTCAGGTGGGGGGGGGGTCATGACCTCTCCCCCCTCGGACCGCGCCTGTACAATGTCGAATAAGATTCCATTTGTTACATAATATATTATTAGGGACACCTTGTTTTTGATCGATTTTGAAGAAACCATAGAGATTTACTGAAGTTGTCAATCATGATAGAAAATGTTCTCAGTATGACGACTGACGAATCAAGCATCACTCTATTGAATATTGTATAATTATAATAACCGACCTATACCTGTAGCTACTGAAATTCATTCGTTCAGTTCTTCATGAAATATATTTTTTGTTGAATACATTCGACAAAAAGCTTTCTTGAACACAAAAATTAACATCAATTCGATAGTGAAATATATATTTCAATAAATAAATAAAAATAAATAAAATAAATATCGATTTGCACTGAAACTTATGAAGGTACTATGGAATTTTTGCATTAGGTGAAAAACACACACACACGAATCAACTGAACCCATATAAACAGTTGAGTTCCACTTTTGACAGTTTTTTCCAGTTCTCATGACACCTATAATGTATCACCAATGCAATCTATCTAACCACATATCCCTGCTTTGCCGACTCCCCCTGAACTTCCTTTTCGTGAATTTCCTCTCTTCATCACTGTCGTCATCGTCTGATTCATCGTCATCCTCGTCGTCATCATCTTCCTTCTCGTTCTTTTCAGATTCATCAGATTCGTCTCCTGCGAATGTATCCACTACACCATCTACTATGTCATCGAAAACTTCTTTTGACTCCGCAGGAGTTTGTTCTGTAGTAATTGGGCTGACAGTGGTCGCTTTCTCTTCGGATGATTCTTCGGAGTCGGAGATTTCGTCCTCTAATGCATCCCCAACTACCTCTACGATTGGATCTTCTTCACTTTCTTCAGATTCTTTCGCGATTCTAGCAGTAGTTGGTTCGGTTTTCACTTCTGACATAGTAGTAGTTTCTACCATTTCAACCTTCATCGGCAATTCAGTGGTTATTTCTGTGATAACTGCTTCAGTTTTAGTTGGACTTGCCATTGTTGAAGTCGGTTGCTCGCTAGAAGTAGAAGCTATAGTGGCAGTAGAAGAAATCATGATCTTCTCAGTAGGTTTCATGGTTTCAACATTTGCTATATTCTGTGACGTGATATCTTGCTTGACAGATTGAAGTTCTGGGAGAACCTCATTCTCTGCAACTGGAATTGCTTCTGTAGTAGTGGTAGTGCTCGTGGTGGTGCTTGTAGTAGTGCTTGTAGTAGATCTAGCAACAGTACTTGCAACTGTCTTTCTCCTTTGAACAACTGCCTGAGCAGTTGTAGATTTGATGGGTTGGGGCGTAATTCTTCTCCTCAGTGCTGGTTTCGTCGACGCCACCTGAACTGGTTTCCTAGATAATTTTCTCAAAGGAGCTTGAGTTGTGGTACTTGTCACCTTCTTCTTGTTGGTGCTGCTCGTCTCAGATTCTTCCCCTTGGAAGTACTGCCCAATGAAATCGTCGTCAAACACACTATAATCTACATCGTTGTCGTCATTGTCATCTTCCCCGTCAAAATCAAAGTCGTCATCGTCGTCGTCATCATCGTCGTCGTCGTCGTCATCATCCTCGTCGTCATCGTCATCATCGTCTTCATCTACTGGTGGAAGGGGTTGAGGTGCTTCCAGGCGAAGACCTCTAGGTCCAAACTTGAAACAGGAAACTCGGATTGCTGCCTCAATCTCGGATAAGGCCCTCAGTTCCAGGCCTAGACAAGCGTTGAACTCGTCTCCTTGGCGACCGATGTTGTATACGCGCCCACAGAATTTGGATACACCTCCTGGCAGAGGCATGCAGATCGGTTGGGGTTTACGCCCTGGAACGAAGAATTGATGGATATTGATGGGTGTTCAGTTTTATAGTTTCCATGTGTTTGAGGTAGTTCCGCCAACCCCGCTCATAAGATCTATACTTGAGTTTTTAGTGGTAGGTAGTGTCAAGAGCCATTGTAAACTGAACATAGATCCGGCTCGAAGGACCACAATGGTTGGGTGTCGTGATGCCTTTTTTTACACTACGTACCACTGAAAACTCAAGTATCGGTCCTATAAGTGGGGTTGGCGGAACTAATACCAAACACATGGAAACTATAAAATGACCAGTGCCAGGCCATAAAACTCAACAATGGGATAGATACCTAGTGAAAAAGTTTCTATAGATAAGTGGCTTGTGGTACATACCTTTTATGGTCGTGTTGGTGAGGACCCTGTCATTGAAGCTCATCGATATAGCAAGTTGGTCGTTCTGTAGATATTGCAGTGCTGCACAACCAGGTCCTCTCAGATTGAGTACGGGTAGGTTGAAGTCTCTACAACAGTTGCACAGCGTCATTTTGCAGCTGCAAAATCTGTTGGCGGTAGCGTTTGTAGCGTTTGTAGTTTGCCTATGTTGTGTGACTTTCCCATATTTCTTCACTACGTGATTTTTTGTTCTTTTGGGTGATGCTTTATTGGGCCCTGAGGAGATTTCAAGTTGATACATGGAAGAACAATTCGGTTATTGTGGAATTCATGCTATACTAACCTATAACAGCTGAGGCAGCAAATGCCACCAGTATGAATATTAGTAGCAACTCGAAGATGAATGATAGCTTCATCTTTGGAGGTGAAGACCTGCAAAAAATTGAGTTGCCTAGTAAGACAGTTGAATCATTTCTTTGACATCTCTATTCATATATGTGTGGTGAATATTTTTTATGTCTAATGGATATAAATAATGTTTTTCATTTCCATAGATAATATACAGAGTGACCCATTTGAAAGCGGGCCACTCTCATAAATGTTCTATTTATGGAGCGATTTTCTCGATTTTTTTTTTCAATGTAGAGGGAGGAAAGTGGCGTCCACTTCTTTCAAAAACCAAGGCCTAGATCACATTCAAAGGCTGAGAAATTCAGAATCCATATTAGCGATTTTTTTCAGAAAAAAAAACGCGTATGCCATTGGAATTTGCGTCTTCTGAAATGTATATGTACCAAGTTTCATGGAAAAATATTCAACATTAACGATTCTACAGCCCGTCTCATTTCAAATGGCCCCCCTCTATATCTCAGTTATTAGTCGTGCGATTCTTACCAAATTTGGCCAGTATGAATAACCATCAATAGACCAACATCATTTTGAACAGTGCCGTACTTTTTTATTAAAATAGGAAGGGTCGATTTTTATGAAATGATATTAGACATTTTTTTGCAAGAAATTTCATATTATTGTTCCTCATAATTTCGAGCCTCCATATGCAAAAAATCACCTCATTCCAAATTAACAAGATTACCTTCATTTTTTTCATTTCCTGTCTCGGAAAAATAGTGAATTCAAATTTACTGCGAATTTTGGAACGTTCAATAGCTCTGGTTGGTAGAAAATGGTGTTTTGAAAGAAAAACAAGAAATACTATTTTATGTTGAGTTGAACTCACCGTTTCCGGGTAAATGATTATTACGTCCACCAAAATGCTTTTTACCTAGATGTGCCTGTTTTTTGAACCCTCCATCGGAATCATATGAACATTTACAAATGGGGATTTCAAACCATGAAGAACATATTATGAGGTAAGTTTTCATGTAAAAAGATCCTATTATGATTTCATAAAAATTTACCAGTTCATTTTGATAAAAACGCACGGCACTGTCCGATTTATAATGATGATTATTCATACTGGTCCAATTTGGTACAAAATATAGAGGGACGGCAGTATGAAATGAGAGACGCTGTAGAATCGTTAATGTTGAATAGTTTTTCATGAAAATTGATACAGATCGATTCCAGAGGATGCTGATTCCAGTGGCGTGCGCTTTTTTTCCTAAAAAATCGCTAATATGGATTCTGGATTTTTCAGCCTCTGAATGAGATCTAGTTGGCCTTGGTTCTTGCAAAAAGTGGACGCCGCTCAGCTTCAAGATTCACCTTTCCTTCCTCTACATTTCAAAAGAAGAATCGTGAAAATCGATCCATGAATAAACAGTTTATGAGTGTGATCCCCGCTTTCAAATGGGTCACTCTGTATGTAAAATCTTGTGATTCTCGGTTACAATTATTATATCGAATTATTTGGTGCCTCGGGGCCAACTCATCTTCAAAATCAGGTCCTGGTCATATCAGTGTCAATCGATCGATTAAACAAGAGAATATAAGTGGAACCTCTGGAACCACTTTGGTTGGAGAGATAACGACTCGAGTATCTAGTCATTCCATGGGCGTATTCGTTTATTTTTAGTAATTTCATGGGCGATGGGCGTATTCGTTTATTTTACTTTCACCGAGATCGCACTGGAGTCCAAGAAGAAGAAGTGTTAGGTATTTCATAACCTTGAACTTAAGAAGGTCACCTCGATTACGATTATGTATACTTTCCTTTATTATGAGTACCTACTCGAAAATATTTCTGAATTTGTTATACATGGTTAGACAAAAAATATGGAACGGTCGGAACTGTCAAATAGCTAGGTAGGCAGGAAACTTTTCATCAGGATTTTTAACGAATTTCACAAGGTGCATGGTTACATAATTGGATAATATGTTCAATTCAAAAATGAAAAAAATACGAAGATAAGCGGAAAGGTCATTTCATCTCACACCTCACAGTTACATTTCGTTAAAGCAATTCGTATTGAAAAATCGCTAACCAAATATGGAATAATATATATAGTGTCCATTTGAAATGAAAAATGTATTGATATGAGTGTCAGAAAAACAGATTACCCATATGTTTTACTATATGTATGTTTTTTATTTCAAAAAAGTTTCAACAGTTCTGTAGCATATTGAATTTGTCGAAATGTTATTTAATATCTACAATCTGAACTGGATTGATATCAACTTTGAATATTCCGTTATAATGACCATTGAAATCTAGAACCCGTATCCCTCTTGTATAACAACCAATGGATTTTTTCTGCATTTTTTCAATGTATTGAATGCCTTTTAATCTCAGTCACATTATAATACTAGATATTCGTCTTCTTCTGTTTAGAACTTGAAATAGTTAACCTACTTAGACAATAATGACTGAAATTTTTCAATTTTTCGGTGCAGTGATTTGTGAACTAGGTCCGTATTCCATTATACAAAGAAAGGATGTGGAACTTCCTATGTTAACTTGGAGTTACACATTTTAATGAATATTATCATACTTATACACCCTGTGCATGATTTATCTAAATAATTGAACTCTCATGCTCTCATGATAAATTACAAAATATCTTTATGAATTTCAAACATCGAATGACAGAATATCTTGTGAAACTTTTTATAAAGTAGGTTTATGGTAAATATTGGGTTCCGTACCGATTTTTTATTATTCGAGAATTTCCCTGCACACCCAAATTGCTTCAATAACCAATATGAAAGTTTTGATATTCTCGCAATTGTTTTACCACTATGTACTTTATGTACAGGTCGTATTTTTTATGCCAAACAATATTGCTCGCGATATTGAAATATCGAAAACGGTAAGTAAATGATACGAAGTTGGTGAAATTGAAAATCAAAGCACAGCACATCGAAATTTTAACCAGAGATGAAAGTTTCTTGAACACATTTCCATATTCCTAAAAATGGAGGCGCTAAAACACAAAGAAAAGAAAACCAGCTATTTAGGTCTTGACTTAGGTTTTGACCGAATATTTTGAAAACTGTTCGTGCCATATTTTAGATTTAGAAACATTTTTTCATTGTTCACTAAAATAGGCAACTTTTGTCTCATTTAACCAACTTACTATCATTTACCGTTTTCGCAATGCCTATAGTAGTACCATAGGTATAGTAGGTACAATTTCCTCTGGATGAATTAGGACTGTCTGGAAAGCCTATAGTATCATTATCATTTATTCCAGAAAAAAATTAAAATCGAGTCTATATAGAACACCTCTATCATTTTAATATCATTTTAATCTTCCACTAATAAGATTTTAAATTATCACACAATTTTACGTCCGCTTGTAGAGACATGGCATTTTTTATTTTGCTCGTTGACGGTCGAAAATAGAAAATTATTTTTTTCTCGAGAATGCAGACATGGATCAAACTCAATTTGGGTATATACAGTGTGGAGATTTCAACTGGAATAAATTCACTAGCGGGGATAGATGACTATTTTTTCTCAATGTTCCCGACATACGTCGGCGCTTTAATGTTTTTACCTACATTTTGAAAGCAATATCGAGAAAATAGTTTTTATTCAGGGGTAGCTGAAACGACCCTCAACATGTTTTTTTCAAATGCAACCCTATGGCTTGTGACCCCTCAATAATGGAAAGCTGGTGAAAAGAGGAATCCAGCGAACTGGTCAAATGTTGTTTTTTTTGTACGTCTAAGGGTTGCATGCCTAAAATCAAATGTGATTTCGAAATTCAATTCATTTTCACCGTTACAAGTTACAATTGCTCAAAATGTGTGTTGAACAATTGATGGTAATTTTTTGCCATATTTAGTTTTTATGTCGTATTCACAGCTGGGAAAAAAGTGTTATTGTAAACTGGTGGAAATGTCGTGTACCTATTACTATCACTAAAAATAAATATTTTGATGAAAATACGTTGCAAATATATCAAACTTCAAAATTATATTTTGATTTTATGCGACTGCTCCTAAACGTACTGCAAACTGAAATTTGATCAGTACCCTTGATTCCTGTTTCAACATATATATAGGTAAATATAGTAAAACGTTGACTTGTCTCGCGATTTTTCTAGAAAAATCATTCACCTCCCCGCTAGCGAATTTATTCCAGTTAAAATATCTCCACCCTGTATTAGATTTCTGTCAAGAAATTTTTTTCTAATTTTCTCCTACTCACCCCTTGCAATATAAACTCAAGAAAAAATCCAATGAAATTGAAATTCACTGCCAGCTACCGCAAATCCACAATGTACACTTGAAGATCGAAGACTACTCAGTGCTTTCTTGATTCATGCGTCTGGGGACCGGCTGTCGAGGAGTCTTCTTCAGAAGAAAGGGGGACCGAATGTCGGTCATCGGTGCTATCAGTAGGTCATCCGTGTTCATCCGGTGTACTGTTTTATATCCGTAGAAAGCACTTTTCGCCAGTTCATTGGTGTTCAGGTGGGGAGGTCGTTACGTGGGTAGAATATTTTGCATATCGGTGAAACGGCGTGAAAAAGTTTGTTAGACACGTTACTCATTATTGTACACTACTATAGCTGCATGTCCTTTTCATTGTGAACGCTTCGTTGCATTTTTATTGTCATTTCACATTGGCATCCCTGGGATTTTATTCGTAAATTATAATTGAGTTGACTGATATCAATCAATGTTGCTTGAACTGGGCAATAATAAATATGATATGGTCATATACAGTGTGTTACAATTTAATTGGTCCACCCGACCCCCGTACTTTCGTATTCCTAGGGCGATTTGGATTTTTTTCCCATAATATTAAAATTATCTACTTTGTCAAGCAAACAAATATTATCAAACACAATTTTTTAGCAGAATTAATAAAAAAAGGAAAATTAAGAATTTTTTTTTTATAATGGCAATCGATTCGGACTGTAGTCACAAATACTCATGAATCAATTTTCAAAACAATATTTTATAAGTGATGTGTTGTATCATCTTTACAATTTTTGATTAATTGCATTTATTTTCAAGTCACCGCCTGTATAATAATTCTTTAGGAATTTGAAATATTTGAATGATACCAGGCGTGATGGTAGTCAGGCTTAGGTCATAAATCTGACTACAGAGTGAGTTGAATAACCAATAAAATCAATAAAAATTCAAATTTTTTACAACAAAAAAAAAATATTGTCAAAAAATTAACACAGGGAAAAACTATGTTTTCCATGCGATAAGTTAAAATCATCATATCTTGTCTAAACAACTGCGTTGTACTCGAGATAACATATGTGATGATGATAATTTCTTCCTAATATTTACAGGTGTTTTATAGACTTAACTTTGAAGATAGCCCCGAAGAAATGAATCAAGTGGATTAAGAACAGGTGACCGAGGTGGCCATGGAAAATAATCATGGGAAAATGTGATGTTCAAATGTTTCATTACAGTTTTGTCGAAATGAGGAGGCGCACCATCGTGCATCAGCCACATATCACCTCGAATATTCAAAAGAACATATATCTTCTAACAACGGAGCTGACTGTTCTTGCAAAAAAGTTGAATATTTATTTACATTTAAAGTTCCATTTTTGATAAAAAGATCCATAATTGAGCAGTTGCCAATTAGTCCTATCATACATTGATAATAAATGGAGTTTTATCACCTTTGAAACGGTTGGGAATATGTATGTTTTTAAATGCGATTTTCTCTAGATCGGTACAAGATATCGATTGATATGAAGTATACCATTTTTGTAGCAAATACATAAAGGGGTCAAACGGTGAAAGCAAAATGTCAAATTTGTCACATCTGTCAAAAATGCTTTCATTAAACGAAAAAAAAAAAAAAAAATCGTCCAATCCTGTATAAAACCTCTAATCACTGGAAAGCAGTATATGTATGGAAAGGTGCATTAGTATGAGTTTATATTTACCTGCCCGAAAATCATTGATTCCATATGGCATCCGTTTGAAAGTTAACATGAAATGAGTTGAGAAAATTCATCACAGAGCTACATATAATAGCGAAAATCAAAATCTATATCTTTTCACAAGTCGAATTCATCACAGTAACATATACCTACATAATTGAAAACAGATGATAATAATTGTCATCAAATTCACACAGCTATATAATAGGGACAGTAATAGGGAAAATCATGATTTTCATGCTATAGAGTGAACGGAATATAATATATGCAATTTCGACGAGGCTTGGCGGGGTACCTAATTACATCCTTCATCCCTCCTTGGATCCGCCACTGGAGCCAAAGATGGTAATTATTGGAAATTGTAACGTCATATTTTTTAATCAGAGAAAGCGATATTTCGAGAAATATGCCGTTCTGGAATTTTCACTTAGTTTAGAAAGATTGTCTATATAGGGTGTTTTTTAAATTGGAGCGATAAATTGAGTTGCTAATAAAAGAAAAAAATTAACGAATTCGGGATCAGCTCCCAGCTCATCATTTGCTCATTGAGCCAGATTGAGCCATCTGTTTTCTGTATGATCTAATTTGATCAGTCTCCACGTCTCCGCTCAATAACATGCACTCATCCACGTCTCAACGTCTCAACCGCAGAACCATCAAGTCCGGTCGCAACCGCAGAACCACAACCTGAAACTGTGGTTTCTGGTTTGAGTTGCCAGAAGAGTAGAAACTGTGGAGTAGTCGCATCGCATTTGTCATACGTCAAATTTTATAGTTCTGTCACAGGTTCTGTTTTCAAAACACATTTTGTCAATAAAAATAAATAAAAACCGAAAATAATAACATTATACCCATAATTCATAAAAAAATTATGATTATAAAATGCAGCCCTTGTTCCATATCGAATTTATTATTTCCAAGTTCAAGCTGAAGAAATAGATATACAATTTTTCAAACTGATTTCAGCTCAATTTGGTATTCAGTAATTTCTAGGAACTGGTGAATCTGACATTCCTTATCAACTTATCATATGATACATATGATAAACATAATAGGCATTTTCTGGTTAGCTACTATATGAGGACGTGTTATTTTCAACATAGTGTAGTGAGTCATAACAGGAAATATTGATTTAACAGTAAGTATATTGTTTCTTCAAATATCAATTTATGTTTCATTCTTTCCAAGTAGTATCTTCATCAGATATAATGAAATTTTTTTTCTAGATGGAGGAAGAAGGAAAAAGAGCTTTGATCCTAGTTGGTGGGTATGGTACAAGACTCAGACCTTTGACTTTGAGCAGGCCAAAACCACTTGTTGAATTTGCAAACAAGCCCATTTTGCTTCACCAAATAGAAGCATTAGTGGATGCTGGTGTAACAGAAGTTATCCTAGCTGTTTCTTATCGTGCTGAACAGATGGAACAAGAATTGACAGCTGAAGCTACCAAACTAGGGATAAGCATAGTTTATTCCCATGAGACTGAGCCTCTGGGCACTGCTGGACCCATTGCTCTAGCAAAAAAGCACCTCACTAAAAGTACAAAACCATTTTATGTACTAAATTCTGATATTATTTGTGATTTTCCATTCAAAGAGTTGGCAAGCTTCCATGAAGCTCATGGCAGAGAAGGTACTATTGTTGTAACTAAAGTTGAGGAACCCTCAAAGTATGGAGTGGTTGTCTATGACAAGAATAATGGGATCCAAAGTTTTGTTGAGAAGCCACAAGAGTTTATCTCAAACAAAATAAATGCAGGCCTGTACATGCTCAACCCATCTGTAATAGATAGAATAGAACTTCGTCCTACATCCATTGAGAAAGAAGTGTTTCCCCAAATGGCTACTGACAAACAACTTTTTGCATTTGAATTACAAGGATTCTGGATGGATGTTGGACAGCCTAAAGATTTCCTTACTGGAATGTGCTTGTACTTGAAACATCTTAGAACTACAGATGGAGAAAGATTATACAAAGGGAATGGTGCTGTTGGGAATGTTTTAGTTGATCCTACTGCAAGGATTGGGAATAATTGCCAAATTGGGCCCAATGTTACTATTGGACCAGGAGTTGTTATAGAAGATGGTATGTGTTTTTTTCCAAATCTCAAATCATCAATAGATTTGTTGAGTTAATATTTCTTTTAGGTGTGTGCATTAAACGCTCTACTATCCTTAGAGATGCAACAATTCGCTCTAATTCTTGGCTAGACAGTTGTATTGTGGGCTGGAAGTGTTTAGTTGGGAAGTGGGTGAGAATGGAAGGTACCACAGTGCTTGGAGAAGATGTTATAGTCAAAGATGAAACATACATAAATGGTGGACAGGTATTGCCTCATAAAAACATAGCAACATCTGTCCCAGAGCCCCAAATTATTATGTAAATTATTCACATTGTTGGTTTTTTTAAATTTTTTTTTATGAGTTTTCTGGCTGCTGAGGGATATGAGACAATTGTAGATTTATGATGATGAAGAAATCAAAAAAGATAACAGAGCTGTTTATATTTTTGTAGTTCATTTTTTTACATTTCTCCTTCAAGATTATTGCACAAGAGGACAACATTTACTCATGAGCTATCAGGACTACTCAATGAATGCCCCATGAGAACTGAAGAATAAGTACCTAGTACACTCTTGTTAAAGGAGGTTTAGGGACTTACTCCTCATTTTATTCATGTTATTTCAATTCATTTATGTTGTGTTAAACAAATATTTGAACAATGTCATAGTTTTGATAAAACAAACTAATGTCTCATGTCTACAATTATATTTTGTGGCATATTGTACAGTATGCCATTAATATCATCCTAGATTCAGTCTTATTCATAGAAATGTCTCATTTGGATCATTATTGACTTGCAATTTTCCATCTGGAAGTAATTTTATTCCAAATTTGCGTTTCCTTGAGTTGGCCTAAAATTATGATAATGTAATTATCAGACGATTTTATTTAAATTTTTATCAGTTTATTTCCACCCATGAAGATATCCCAACTAGCATTTATAGTCGCGATTACGTAATTACGACTATTGGGTCGACTATTAAGTAATATTTACTAGTTGCGGTTACGTTATAATTACGTCGTTACTACGTATTTACGACCAAAATGGGGAACAAATCACGAGTAATTATTACGGTTTGCCGACGTAGCGGGAACTCACACAATTACGTAATGCTTACGACCCGTCGACGTCGAAATTACGTAAAGATGTAGTAAATTTTCCTACCTGACTTTCTATTTCTTTTCCACTTCATAAAAATATTATTTTCTCTCTTTATTATTCTTCATTTCATCCATGAAGTTCACATTCACGAAAAATGAACAAGTCCAATATGCCTAACCATTCAATAAATAATACAAGGACAAACACGCGAAATAATTGATACTCGAACTTGAAAAATTCGAACAACATTCAGTTTTTCGATAAATGTGATGATTTTGCCTCGAAATTCAAGATGCGCCCACAAAATACGGCTCATTTCACCAAAAATATGGTTTTATTTCATTCGGCTATTTTTCAAAAATCATCGTAAATCATGTTAATTTCCATTATTATGCAATTTGTGATCGAACGAATGCTATTATTCTTCATGAAATGATGTTTATCAACAAGAAAAACCAAAATTATTTCCTGTTCAAATGGTTATCACATCAATCAATATGGCTTCCAATCGAAAATGAATCAGAAAGTTACTTTTGGAACTCGTCAGTTATGATAACCTATGTATTGGTAACTTCAACTGAATATAATTACCGAAAAGTTGTTTCAACTATGAAGGAATTGTTTGAGTAGGAATTACCAATATGTTACTTGAAATATCACCAAGAATTGACTAAATTATTAGGTGATCGATCAAGTAACGACAACGTCGTAGAAACCTAATTGGTGACCATAGAGTAATTGCAACTGTGAAGCCTTCTTGGGGTGGTAAGCGTTACCGTAATAATATATCCAAAGTTCCGAAACCTTAAGAGTAGTTTTGAGGAGTGACAGTTTCGAAATAGTTACTTCGTAATAAGCCATGAGAATTTCTCACTTTGAAGTTATTATCTAGTGTAAAAACTACGTAATTTTCACTCACTAAATAACTATCACTGACATTTATACTATGAAGTTCTGAAATAAGTGATAAATACGTTATTATCACTAAATATAGGTAATAGTTTCTTGAACCATGGTGCCTGTGACTGAAAATGCTAGTTGGGATATATACAGGGTGTCCCAAAATTGCTGGAACACAGAACTACTACTGTAATAACAGTTCAAAATAAGTTGATTGGACCCATTTCATTTATCTAAAAAAAAAATCCGTTTGTCGATGAGACGAGTTCAAAGTTTACATAAAAAACATATTTTTGTGCGCCGTTCAAAAATGAGTTGAACAAATTGGCTAAAATTTGACAAAAGTGCATTTCAGTGATCCAAGAAACGTGAAAGAAATTGAGAAGGGTTGAAACCACTCTCACCGCCTAACATTTTTTCAGAACATTCTTAGGGGTGGTAATAGGATTCTTAAATTTGTTAATCAAGATGACTGATTAATTAATCTTCATTTTGTTACTTTGGTGAAAATATCGCATTCTGCATAGTTAAAAAAAAGTTTTCTTGAATAATGCTAATAGATATTCCTAGTAAAAGTTTAATGAAAAAAAAAAAAAACGTTCTGCCTTTGTTTCCACTGTCAACTAAATTTTGAAATATAATAATATCGAACTTTTACTAGGAATATCTATTAGCATTATTTAAGAAAACATTTTTTTCTTTCGGAACTATGTTGACTCCGAAATTTTCACAAGGGTGACAAAAAGCAGATAAGTAATCAGTCATTCCGCTCAAAAAATTTGAGAACCGTATTAGCACCCCTAACAATGTTCTGAAAACAATGTCAGGGTTGTTTCAACTCCTCTAAAATGCAGTTTTGTCAAATTTCATCCAATTTGTTCAACTAATTCTGGAACAGTGTACAAAAATGTGTTTTTTATGTAAACTTTGAACTCGTCTCACGGACAAACGTTACATTTTGTTATGTAAATAAATTGGGTCCAATCAACTTATTTTGACTTGTATTACAGGTGGTAGCTCTGTGTGTCCCCAGCAATTTTGGGACACCCTGTATATCATTAGATAAAAAAACACACTTTATTTGAAGCTACATTTTCTAGAATCCCTAGAATATTGAGTTTATTAAGATAACATGGAACTGATGACATACTGACATTGATTATCCATATTTATCCATTCCCATTCTGTTATACTTTTATAAAATTCGAAGATTTTAGTATGAAATATAATTCTTGTTTTTTTCAGAAGTTTGTATTACCATTTTCTTTCCTTTGAAGTTCAATCACCTAAGTCCTTTATGATAAAATCTAAATAATATTGTTGCTTTACTCCATAATTTTTATTATTAAGGATATTTTTATTAACACCAAGTGGTCATATTGCAGTGAAATCCGAAAAGATATAATCGTCCTTCCATTTGTTCGTTTGGATTTCAAAAATAATGACGATGGCAAATTAAAGCTAAGGCACCCTGTATATAATTACTGGTTGAACATCACTTTTGAATGAAACCACTGAGGATATGTAAAATGAAAGTTCAGTTAATATTAGTAATAGATTTTATTAGAAAAGTATAAATATATAATTCAGTCAAACAGTAGTACTCCCATTAACAGAAGAGTAGAAAATATAGCTAAATAAAAATGACAAAATGATAATTCAGAACACAAATATTACTGAGGAACCTAAAAAGATATATTTAATGAAAGAAAATAAGCGGACATAATTCACATAAAATTCACATATTCAGTCTTAGTACATCATTGTTAAAATTAGTTAATACTGATTCACAACATCTATATATGTTTAAATATGTATTATTATATAGTATAAGTTTCATATACTATATCACCAATAGGAAGCATGAACATTGAGATGAGAGTGAACAAAGTTTGATATTAATTTGCAATACTGCACTGAGATATTTTTTCGAAAGTTACTTTTAGTACGAATTTTCGGTTCGATCTGAAACGATTTTTGTATTGAAATTTCAAGAGGGTGAACATTTGGATATGAAACAAGTTTGAAGATTCTTCATAATTTCAACCAGCTAATAATTATTGAATGTGGTAGATGACTAAGACGATGAAAAATAATTTTATGGAGTTTTATTCAAGTTTTGAAACTTGATGAGTTCATAATCAAAATCAATACAACAGCTGGAGATTAGAAGACAGAATCATTGTTCATCAGTCAGAATAATGAATGTAAATATCTTTGCTTTATATTGAGTATTGGCAAAGTTAATTTTTTGCTGCATATGGCAGAGGATTACTGAAGCAATAAACTTTATCAAATATGGTAATAACATTTTGGAATAAATCAATCTGACAGTAAGGTTGATAACAAAATTTGTGTAAACGAAAACAAAACACTATCAGTGAATTAACCATAGTTACCATTACAGTTATGATTCATTCACATAATCCCATTTTGCTTGCCTGTCTGCTTTAAGAGTTTTTACATGTGAATCATGATAATGATTTCCCTATCCTATAATAAATACATCTGCCTACAGATTGCTAAAAACTATTTAAGTCTATATTATTTTTGGCAGCTTCAAAGTAATATATAACATTTTTTATAGCTCTCAACTAATAATTAATAACTAATTACTCAATATCTAAGAAAATTTCACAGCCACTTAAAAATATTCATTAGCAGTTTGAGGTATAAATAATTATCTATTTAATTCTTTTACTAATGGATGTGTAACATATGATGATGGAAATTATTCCAAAAGAAGGCACTAAAGTAGTCGAATTTTCAAATATTTTCAATAACAAACATACCAACATTAGCCTCTCAATTCTACATTATGACCAGAAAAACATTTTAATTTTTAAAACCGCCGCTATTAAAGACATTGAGAAAAACACTGGTAATTACTTCCAAACCTATAACTCTATATTCGAGTATAGTATTATTTCCACTACTTATATGATTATTCATAATGATTACAAAATTGGTCTCAGAAGGGACTAAGAGATAAAGTATTCAGGAAAAATATGATTCTGAAATCATAGTCTTGACATACTTTACTCTGAATCTTGTTTTGTGAACTCTATGAAATTTGGAAACAATAAACAAATAACATTTAAAAAAATTGGCACATAATATCTTCAGATGTATAGTGCATTAAAAACAGTGATACATTTTAAAGAAATATCACAACATACAATAAACTATTTCTCACAATTATCCAATTTTCTACATGAAGTTTCACCTCTAGGCAAAACAATTCATAACAAATTGGATGAACAAAACAACAATAAGTGTCAACTTCTCAGACAAAATATTACATAATTCACTAAGAAAGTATCCCAGAGTATGTACAAAAAAAAATTAAATTGATTCAGTGAACGAAAAAATTGCATAAATTGGACAACCTGTATATGTGCTTGTACTGAGTGAATGGCTGACAATGTAAGTGAAATACTTTTTGGGTTTAAACAAAGCAGTTGTACTGCGCCATCTTTAAACTGATGAAAGTTCAGTAAAACAACTCATTATCTAAAACATTTCACATGTTGACATATAAAATATATAGTGTATATTTCAGGGAATTTCAATTAGAATTTCATTTTTTCGAAAAGGCAACCTCAACTAACCCCAATTGGAAGGTACCCTGGAGTATAATTTTTGTTTCTGTATTTAAACCTTCCTTGTGATCGACGATTTTCTGAAATTATTTGTGATGGTTTATAGAGATTGGATCCTAGATACAGTCACTATCTTCAAGTTACTTAGTCTTTGACATGCATCTTGATAAGCTACCATGGGCTCCACAATGGCATAATCAATTTCATCAAATGCCAATATTTTATCACCAGGAAAAAGTTTTTGAGAAACTTCCGACTGAGGATCAACATTATCAACAAAAATACCCTGAAACAATTATATCCCACAATATTGATAGGATGATAGGATACTTCATCATAAATAAGCAACAATATAAACATTAAGGTAGAAATATTAGTTTGTTGAGATGAAATAAATACAAAGCTAAGCTCTACTATGCACTGATGCTATTATACTGCAACAGGAAAACAATGGAATTATAATTTGAAATGTTTCCTCTATTTCATATATTTCATTTTTATGTATATTATGAAGTACAAAATGTGATCAGTATTATAATGTTTGCACCAAGAAACAATGAAAGATGTTTTGAAGTTGGATACAATTTTTGTTAATAATATCACTGAATGGGATAGTAACAAATTGTCACTTTTGTTTACATCCAAAAATAACTGATATAATATGAAAAAGGGAAGAATTTTGTACAAATAAATGAAAGAATATGTTGGTTCTAACAGATGAATTACAGTATTTGATGGTTATTAGGTTCTGGATAGAATGCAGTAATTTTTTCCATTGGTACTTCCAGTGGTGTGTTAATAAAGCATGACACAAAAGTTTACTAGGGTTTGTTAGGTGCCTGGTGTCTACTTACATCACTCTGTACGGCGATTCGTATATCACTTTGTGAATAATCTTCAGGTATCTCAATCTCCAAAACCTGACAAACCTTGTGCTTCCCAAAAGGCCACTTGACCTGTTTGGCCTGCACAAAATCTTCTTCAGTACTAGTGGACGTGCTTTTCTTGTGTTTATCGGATATTTGAAGCACAGGGGCATAATCCCTGCTATTGGGCAATTTAGGTGTGGGCATATGGATATTTGGTGGTTGCTGTTGGCTAAACTGCTTTGGATGGTCATGGGGGCTAGGTGGACTAAGATTGCGTGAAAATAGATGAGCATTTTTTGAGTATGCTGCTGCTATATGATAGGGAGGCGGCTGTTTTGGAGGCGTTTTATTTATTTCCCCTGTTATATCAGACATTGTTTCTATTGATTCTGTATTCTCATTACCATTTAGACTGGTTTGTGATACATTTAGATCACCCAATATGTTGGTTACCTTTGCTTCTTTTATTTCTGATACATTCAACACCTGGAAAATGTACATGCACATAGTGTCATAAACTCAAAACATGTTGTCTTGCATACAAATGTTCTAACTCACCTGCTTATCTGATGAATGCTTGGTCCTCAAAACCTCTCTAAGCCTCTTCAACTCTTTGTGATGAGGAGTAGGGGTTCTACTGAGTGACAAGTGAGCCTCAGTAATGTCAGAATCATTCCTGTCAGTATTGAAACTTATGTGACAAGTCTGATTCCCCATTGGTAACTGTACAGGGGGAGGCTCCCTCAATGGGGCCTGAGGAAAAACCACCGAAGTCAATACAATCTGCCCATCAGATAATTGCTCATTTTGCAGATGTATGAGAGGTTGAGTCTGATTGGGGGTGAGCCACAGTGCTTTGAGATTTCTCAACTTTGAAATTGTTATAGGAAGATAAGATAGCTTGTTTCCAATGAGACCAAGGGTGGTTAGGTTCTGCAGATGTCCAACTTCTTCAGGTAGATGTTCTAGTTGATTGTTATGGACATTTAATATTGACAGGTCACAACAGCTGCCAATGTCTGAAAATATTGATACTTGATATTGATAATGGTACCCCAAACTGGTGAAATTAAGTATAGAGGCATTCAAAAGGGTTCATCAGAAAATATCATTCCTGATGAGTTTTTGCTTGTGAAGAATCACTAATATGTTTAATAGCAAGAGTGATCAAAATTTAATTGAAAAATGTTTGGAATTAGATTTTTCAGAATAAATACTGTGTCCAGTAATTTTTTGCATAATGTACATTCATCAAATAATTTATGCTAGAAGTATTATAATTTGATTGTACTCATATCAAGATGATGCAGTGATACTGTAATGTAATGAGGTTTGATTTATTGATGATATTGAGAGATCATTTTTGCATGAAAAGTTATACTCATGTCATAATTAAAGTTTCCTGTGAAATAATCATGACCATATGTATTGATAGTTCAATGACTTACCAGGTGGTAATTGTTGCAATCTGTTGTCAGACAGGATCAAAGTTGCCAATTTTCTCAAATGCCCAATTCCACTAGGTATTTTCATAAGAGAGTTATTCTGCAAGTTCAATTCTTCCAGATTGACCAATTTGGCAATTGTACCAGGTAACTCATCCAAAAAGTTTGATTCAAGTTTTAGCACTTGCAAATTTCGTAGATTCCCAATGGCTTTTGGTAATGTGGTTAGATTATTGAAGCTAAGTATTAGGTTTGTTATTTTTGTCCAATGGCCAATTTCTTTTGGGATGGACTCTAGGTTATTACATGAGGCATCAAAGTCATTGATTTTTTTCAAGTGAGTTATGGATATAGAGAGCTCAGAAATATTGTTACCATTAATCCATAGCTCTGTCAGGTTTCCATGGGATTCACACACCTCTGTCTGTAACAAGGAGTATATAATATACATCAAAAACTATCCATATGTAACTTTATATTTGAATAAAATCTTATATAGAAAAAATATTCAACAGATAAAACAATTACCTCCTGTCCTAGCTAATACTATGTAGAGTATAGTGTAGACTATATGTATCTGTTGAATATCTCTAATGACAATTCAAAAATGAAACATCTGATATTGAAAATTCACATTCTCATTGAAATCTGAATTAACAAATCTAATAAAAAATAATGACAACTACCTAATGGACATTGTAATCTCTAACATATTTTTCCAGAGATAGTACTCACCAAATTGGACAAATTATTATCACTAACATCAAGTCTCTGCAAATTAGTTAATCTCCTAATAGATTTTGGCAAATCACATAAATTATTATCTCTCAGTTCTAAAATCCTTAGATTTGTTAGACGTCCAATATTGGCAGGGACAAAATCAATTCCAGTATCATTCAAACATAGTTGTTGCAGGTTTATCAGGCTCATGATAGCTTCTGGTACTTTTCCCAAGTCATTCATACTGAGATCCAATAGGGTTAGCTTACTTAATTTGTCTAGGTTTGGATGAACCCCATCTAAGACTACAAATACAATATATTGGTATGAAATGATATCAGAGACCAATCTGTATTAGATTTTGTAGGAATGGATATCACCCTTACCATTTTTGCTAAATATTAGAACTTGAAGATTGGTTAATTTTGATATTAGCGGAGGTATGGCTCGGATTTCATTATCACTCACATTGAGATATCGCACATCTATACACTGGAACAACTGTGGAGACAAGTCTTTCAGCTGAAAATGGAAAAGGGGACTTGGTAAAATTGTGTCCATAAAGGAATTGTGGAACCTGCCTTATTCCCTTCTAAGTGCAACACCTCCAGAGTTGGTGAATTGGCATACACTTCATTAGGTATTTCTGATATTCCACATCTTGAAAAATCCAATTCTGTTATTTTTTCTTCCTTGGGTTTGCATTGACAACAAGTAAGCCAACCCATTTTCTACAGAGTATTGTTGTTACCGACTCATGCTAACAATTTAGTGAAATTTTGAATTTGCTATAGGTAAAGTAAATACCTAAGAATAGAAAATGTATATTATAATAATATTACAATGATGATAAGAGGAGAAAAATACAAAAATACAAGAACAATATTTGTTAATGTTGACTTCTGTCTGACATTAGTGACAACTTGACATCTTGTGCAAGTGAGCTAGTGACATTCAGAAACGTCAATGTCAAAGTTTCTTCTACTTATTATTTTAGAATGATTTGGCATCTTGCCCGGTCAGGAATATGAACATTCTTCTTCTTCAAGTTCTTCTTTTTATAGAATTTTTGAAATTTTTCAGCTTTGGCCGGATCCGAAAGCAGCTTTTCTCCAGTGGCTTACATCGAGTTTTTGCCTGCTGGGGGTAGCTCGGTAAGTTCCTATGGTATATTTTCAGTTTTTTTCAATCAACGCTTGTGTTTTCCATACAGAGTGTCCCAGATTTGCCAATTTATATAGGAAACTTCATTCAATTAAAAATCGAATAGCGATCGAGAGAGCGTTGAAGCTGCGGTGAATGAAAAATAATTTTTGTCGAATATTGCTCTATAATATATCGACATAGAGGGTGCTTTATCAATTTTGCTCAATTCATTGTGAGGAAAATAACTTAGGAACGACACCCAGTATATATTCAAAATATAATATATAATATTATAAATAAGTAATTCAAATGCAATAATCACAAGTAAAAATTTTCTTTTCAGTCTCAGCCCAATGGGCGTGTACACCTCAGTAGAACTTTTATCTCAAACCATGTTTATAATGATCCTTTTATACATAAATAATGATTGACGACATAATTCGATCGAAAAATTAACTGGAATGTTTTATTTTTGGACATAAATAATAGTAACTTCTGAAAACGGACCCTCTTATGACGTAGAAACCTCATCTCGCCAAAGTTGAAAAAAAACCAAACGCCCGACGGAGACTGAGGCAACTGATATATTCATTCTTTCAACTGTGATCTCGCGCTAATTCACTCTGTCAGAAATCATGTATCATTCACTCTGTCAGAAATCATGTATCATTCATCTCTGTCTGGAATAGTCTTGTTTCAGTACTAGGGTTTTGACGTCACATCATCGCGTCGTTTTCAGAGATCCGAATAATTGGGGATTTTAATATTTTTTTATGAAACGTAGAGAGCTCACAGCAAGAAACGGTTTGCGGTGGTGAGCTATATAGTTTGGGTTCTATCGAATTATGAAATAAAAATTTTTTGTGATATAAGCCCATTGCCACAGAGACTGCAACCAAATATCTCTGCATTTTTCCCGTATTCCCACACGACACTAAAGCATATTATCCTGCGCCTGTCGCATCTTTGTTGTTCTGTTATCAGTCTAAGAGCAGGCTTCTTCTGTCAGCCTACGATATACATTCTTGGCATCTGGGAAATTTTCTATTGCTCAAACTAAATGTTACATTCAGCAATAATGGGGTAATATGGTGGCCTGCCAGCATTTTCCCGACACGACCGGTCACCAATAACCCCAATAACAAACATTTATTTCAATCGACATTCATTGTTCATAGAGTTTCAGTATAAGGTATATAACAGAGATTTTTGAGTCTGTTTCTCAAAATGTTCGTCTTTATCATCAATATCTCACGCGTTAAATGTATATATATACAGTATGATGCAAATGTATGGAATAAATTCATTTCAAAACAAGACGACTTTCGAAAAAAAAAAAAAAACTAGAGTTTTTTTCGACGTATTTTTTCAACTAGACGACGACCCTTGGATGTTCAATTCTCAGTAGCAGACCTCTGCAAGATTCAGTTGATCACATGATAATCCATTTTAATTTCAATCTTCTTATGCAACATTTTGACTGTTGAATAGACGATCAGTAGACCTTTCAATCAAGGTGTCACATCACATGACCCCTATTTGTATTTGAAAAAATCGTCCATTACGTCTTTACTCCAACACCGGTGACGTAACATCTCTCATATGAATATCATGGGATGAGGTTTCAGAAATTAAAACTCACGTGTTTTTGGAATTTTTTCAAATGTTGCCATTTCTGAAATAATGAATTTATTCCATACATTTGCATCATACTGTATATATATATATATAGATATAGAGACATTTGTTACAACCGACGACTGTGGATCAAATGGAAGGAAAAAGGAAATAGTGGAAACAGTTACAATTCCAGTTAATTTCTTGTCAACTAGTTTGAAATATTTATTTGTAGATGGAAAAACCAATACTTTTGGTAGGTATATTTAGTAATATTGCAATTATATGAATTGTGAAAAAATTTGCAAATCCATCAAAAGGTTATTTCAAATAAGTTTTTTGTGCTTTTTGTAAATATGTGAGTGAATTTTGGTAATTTTATCATACAGGGTGTTCTTTTTGGTGCCCAGAAATAGGTATGATCAATTTTAGTCGATCCGATCCTGAATTTTCTGAAAATAAGTCGCTTGGGTAGAAGAAGGAGAACTTATTGCGTGTATCAAATTCCAAAAAAATATACTGGGTGGTTCGTCACAAAGAATTGAGCAAAATTCGAATATAATTAAAACTTGTAAGACACTACAAATATGGCACCTATTTTCATAACCACCTTGATGGCCTCTATCCATCGTTGAAGTTTTCCGTTTCCCAATGGGACACCCTGTATATAAAAAATTGTCGGCTTTTGTAGTCCTCTGCTCATTCCAATATGAAATTTCATTTGAAAGAAATAATTCATAGATGACTTTATGTTATTTAAAAATAATATGTGAGGTATACAAACATAAGGAAAGAGATGAAGACCTCCTTCTATAATTTTCTATACCTAGACTTACATGATGAGAGGTCGAACGGAAAATTTCATTTAATGAAATGTTCGTCATGAGATTCGTAAATGTGGAACTTCCTGAAGATGATAAATAATTTTATCTAACTTATTTTTTTTCACCGAATTGCGTTTCAATCACGCGCGTGGATAGAGATATTCGAAGCATATTCCTCATACATTATATATTCCATACGCAAATAAAAAAATCCTATATTATCGCACTTATCGTTTTTTATTCTTATTCTCGTATATATATCTATTTTGTTATTCCAGGAATCGAAAAAATTAGTGATGCATTGCTTTGGAGATGAGGAAATACTATACTTTCTGTTCGGCAGTTCGGCGTGGCTGATATCAGTTTCTATATTTTTTCCCTTTAGACAGGGTCGTCCGAAATAATCTCAGGGGGGGCACGTCACAATAATAAGGTACAATATTCAGTACATATCAAAAAAACAGTTTTTGCACGACCAATGAGCGATTTTACATCTCCAAGCATGAATACAGGGTACAGAGTACTCCCTAGGCTAAAAAATTCTCCGGGATTTTTCTGGCAATAAATCTACCACTATGTTTGCAGCAGCTTCTTTAATGATTTTTTCACACATTTTTGCAACATTGATTAAAAAAACTTAGGAAAGCAGTTATCACACTAGCACACTTTTTCGATGATGTTCACAAATACAATATGGCTACTCTTATTATTTCATCGGTCGTCCTGATAATCAAAATTAATTTTGTTTCCAGATTTTCAGTTCCGTGAATTAGGAATTTAATTGACAACAATTGATTTTGTTATAAGATTCTTTCAATTAAAATCGTTGGGTCGTGCAAAAAATAGTTTATACACCTCGGAAGTGAGTTCTTTCTCCCCTCATTGCATTGTAGCGCCCTCTGGCTAAAATACCACTTCGGGAAAAATCATGCATATCACTCCCTCGATGTTTAATCTACTATTATTCTACATAGAACATGGAACAAAAAAAATGAAAATTGAATAAATTGCCATCACATTATGTTTACAGCCAAAATTACACGTGATAATAATCATAATCTTGTTCGAACAAAAATGGCATTCTTCTAGAATCATCAGGAGCAAATTTATCAATTACTTCGTTGATGAAATAAACTCATTATAATAAGCGCCAATCAGAATAGGAACTGAATAATGTAGGTATACGTATCTTGTTTAGAAAATATATGAGTAAGGACCAGGCGCTAGGGGGGCAAGCGCTCCCCCTTTGCCCCCCCCACTCCGGGCGCCACTGCCTTTATATAAATAACATGCAGTATTACTAAACGATGCAATGATTATATCGATGATAGCGCACACGTATATCAATATTTATTACGATTAAAACACTTATTTATTTCAAAAATACATTTTTCATTTAACATTATCGGCATCACTGAGGCTCCAGTGCTCCAGTCTATCAAAGTCCAGTAAACATATGCGCGAATCCACCAAAACCTACAATAAGTACCTATCAACATCGTGCCTATACCAGTGGTAATAGGAAAATTGCTGTGACTATTTTCCAAATAAACCTCGGCGTGGCTGATACCTATCATCAGTTTCTATATTTTTTCCTTTTATAACGATGCATTTAATATATCGATGATTTTTTCGGAAATATAAATTTCATTATGGCACTAAGGCTCCAGTGCTCCAGTCTAAAGTCCAGTAAAAATATGCTTGAATCTACCGAAAACTGACTTCCAATTAGCAATAGGAAAATTGCTGTGACTATTTTCCGAATAAACCGATTTCGATCCCAAGATGATTCACATTACATTTTATGTTTCCTTCGTATACATACCTATACTTATGGTGTAGGTATATTACCAACATGGTTCATGGCCAGTTTATGCGTTAAAGGTGAAATTAGAAAAAGAGTCCAAACAGGATATCGCTTTTTTGAGAGAATACGGCGAAAATGTCTTGTTTGTTTATTTTTTAGCAACGAATTCATGGTAATAAAGGATGTATCATCGAATGGGAAGCCTGCCTTGGGTAGACCCCCAATCAATTCCTCGTAATTCGCAAGTATTTCGTATACAGTCTAGCAATACAGCATGCGATCTTAGTCGACCTTCTGTTGGTTTGATTGACCATGGCGGGGCTAGCCGCGTCATATTAATATAATTACAATCACTGACAGTAGCTATGATGAAATTTGCTAGAGGACGGGATTCCACTGACATCTTCGTGAATAGTGAGATAGATTGAAAAAAGTACGTTGATAACGCGCGAAACTTTGGATTTTTTGTGTGTGCAGTGATAGGTATGTGGAAAGTGAGCCTGATTTGGTTTTCCGCAACTCTGATTGGTTCGGTGTTGGGACAAAGTAAGTATTTTTCATATAATTTTGGTTTCTCATCAATTTTTGGTTCAACAACTTAATACAGCCAATATTCTTATCGGTGTATCCACAGGTAAGTATAGATTATAAGTATATAGGATTTGTGGGGATGCAGCTAATATATGGGACTCATACGAAAACTATTTTCTACTTTTGAGGAAACTTTCGGAATATTTGTATTCCTTCGCCAGTCTCTCTAAAATGGAATGTAAAATTTTTATATTTGAAAGAAATGGGGATTTGAAATTACTTACAGTAGATGAGATTGTAGAAAAGCAAATCAGAACTGTATAAAATCGTGAAAAATTCATAAATTGATGGATATATATAAACCAATAAATAACTTTGTCAAAATGACAACATGTAACATGAAAAAAACCTACATGGGGAATACAAATATTCCGAAATCTGTCTCAAAAGTAAAAAGAGTTTTTTTTTAGTATATTTAATTCGTCTCAGTATGATCAAACTCATTATTTATCCTGCAATCCTAATAAAGATGAGATTCTGTCTTTGAAGCAATAAAAGTATAATTAGTATAAGTAGGTATAATTGTTATAATGCTCTGATCGTGATCAACAGACATTTTTTACTTCGGATTCTCTATCTATGACCTAATATGATGTCAGTAGCAGTCAGTAACTTATTATCATTTGCAATATGTTTCTGTGTTTGATACCTGTGGAGATGTAGATGAAGATGAAATAAATTCATTACTTATTCCAGATGCTAAAATATTGAATAGAATTTTTTTTTGAATTGGACTTCACGAGGTAAATGGTAGATTTTCATTCCGTATTACATTGAAGTATCTTTCAACTATGCATAATTAGCTCTGAACTAAATAATTGTGTTTATTGAATTTAATTTGCGCCGGATGAGATGACAACTCAAATTGAGAAAATTGCACATAGATCATCGGAAGTGAAAAAAAATTGATATTATTATTGTATAGTGATATTTTCTATATCGTTGAAGCATGTTAGGATGATTGTCACATTCATATGAATTCAACCATACCTACAAAATCAATGCAGCAAGTTGATATGACCACATAAGCATAATTATTGTTAGCTATTAGCACACCTGAACATTATCATTCAGATCAGACAATCTTTGTTATAAACTTGACATATATATTCCAAATCAATCTATGAATATCAAGGATAACTATTTATTTTGAATAAATATTGAACATTTTAGGTCTTCATAATCAACATTGGATGCTGAATTTTACAGATACACATAACCGGTTTGAATATTGTTTGCGAGTTTCGTAACAGAGCTAATCACTATCTTTATTATTATTATTTAGTAAATCTGATATCTTCAACAGATTATTAAATATGCAAAATACAATCAGGTATTACCTGTATCGCCATGTAAATCAAAAAAATCATCACTCTAAAAAAAATCTTATATAGAATTTGATGACTCAAAAACATAAATAATGTCTAGCCAGTTCTTCCTAAAAAATAAAACAATTTGGAGATTTTTTAATTTATTGTTTGCTTCAGATGCAGGTTTCGGGCGTAAGCAACTGATGATGACTGTCGTTTCCAGTAATACATATATAGTAAAAATAACACTTATAATATTTATTCATCATTTTTAATACATTAGGAAATGCAAACATCATTAGTTGATATCTCGGTTAATATTTAAAATGGGTCTATTTGTTTTTCGGCTAAAAAATGTCCTGCTTTTCATGAATACACCCTGATATCTCAGTTATTAATGATGCTATTCTCTTGAAATTTTAGTGGTGATTTTATGTTAGAACAATGAAGTATTTAGCAGAGTGAACAGTTTCATTCACCATTGACGTGCAATGTTGAGGGGTTCAAAAAAGGGCAATTATTCGGAAAAAGGATATCAGGGTTTATTTTAAATAACTGTTTTCATCAGATTCAGAATCAGCGTCCCCGAAAACCCCCTGAGTCATATTTTCAAAGTCTCAAGAGAAATTTAAAATCTTTCTTTTCATGACTACGCCCCAAAATCTCAGCTATTGATGATGCGTTTTTCTCGAAACTGTGATGGTGATTGTATGTAATTTTTTTAACATACAATCACCATCGAAATTTCAAGAAAATCGCATCGTTAATAACTGAGATTTAAGGGTGTTGTCATAAAAAGCGGAATTTTGAAATATTTTATTTTAGCTCTTGGAATCATGAAAATATGAATCGGGGGATTTTTGAGGATGCTGATTATGAATCTGATATACATATTATTCAAAATGAGTCCCAATATCCTTTTCCCAAATAAAGGCCATTTTTGTACCCCTCAACATCGCACGTCAATGGTGAATGAAACTGTTCATTCTGCTAATAAAATCACTACAAGAATTTCAAGAGAATCGCACCATTAATAACTGAGATATCAGGGTAAATTCATGAAAAGCGGGACACACTGTATACAGGCGGGTGTCCGTTTTTCGAGCTCCACCATGGGGATCTCAGTTATTATAAGAGATACGAGATCGGTTAAATTAGGGCAAAGTTGCACATTTTCATGCTGAACATCTATCTGCAAGAAAATTTTATGTGTCATTTTCAGTTTTCGAATTATTGGATGAAAACGAAAATTTATAATTTTCGTTTTTATTTTTTCAAGCGGAAACCATTCTCAGAGCACTTTTTCACAAGGAATCTGAATCTGTCATTGTGTTTTTCATTGGTTCATTGTACCAGTATATCACCTGACGAAGCTACTGTGTTAGCGAAACATGGCGTGTGTTTGAGAATTTTGTGGGAATCTTATCGTTTGTGAAGTTTTTACATGACTTTCTTGAGGTCAAAGTTAAAACAAACAATTTTGTTTTTTCTAATCGGCGACATATTGGATTTTCATATTTTTGAAGTCTTTTTTTCTGATTATAATGATTTATCACACGATATCCTGTTGATCAAAATTGGGAAAAATGGTTTTATGCCAACTTTGATCAACAGGAAAGATTCGATCATATCGTGTGATATTCATCATTGTAATCAGAACAAAGAAGACTTTTCAAAAATGCGAAAATCCGATATGGCGCCCATAAGAAAAAAGAAAGTTGAGTGTTGTAATTTTGGCATCAAGAACGTCATGGAGAATCCGATGACAGATTCATAATTTTTGTAAAAAAGTGCCTTGAGAATGTCGTAGTTTGAAAAGTTTTGGTCTTTTGGTTTTTACTTGAAAACATAAAAAAGATAATTACAAATTTTCGTTTCCTTCGAATAATTTGAGAAATAAAAATGACACATCGAATATTTTCTTGCAGATAAATGTTCAGCATGAAAATGCGCAACTTCGCCCGCATTTAACCGACCTCGTATCTCTTATAATAACTAAGAAGAGCTCGAAAAATGGGCACCCTATATACCTACCTAGGTTGGTACAAGCTTGATTCATCGGTTTTATGGCGAAGTGATTTATCGAAAGAAAGTAATTTATGAAAAGTGACATTTTGTAACCTGTCAACAGGGATAAAATGTCAAACTCTTTTTCCGTCATAGAAAAATAGTTATTTATTATAAAATGGAAAAAAGTTGTAGATTTTAGCTCCAGGTTGTGTTGTCTCCGACGCGTAGCGGAGGGAGACAAATAACCGTCAGCTATATAAAATCTAATATTTTTCCCGTGTATAATGCACTATTTTTTTCTGTGACAGAAGGAAGGACGAATCGATATTGAGAAGATATTACATTATTTTGAAATCTGAAAATTATCGACGCGAAATTTCAAGTTTTTAACAGGAGGGACACCTGCGTTGTTGGCATCTTTATCATTCTTTTGAAGTAATCAAATATCTCATGTCACTTCTGTCAGTCTAAGACTTTGATTTGATTTCACAAAATTGCGAATTTAGTGGTTGTTTAGTAATTTACGTAACCGCGAAGTCGCGAATGGAAGATAAAATGACTTGCAGTTCTTTCTCGGAGACGGTATTAAGTATTGACTTATTTTTCGGCACAACAAAAGCCATCAACAGGTATATATAAGTGATATATATCCGGGAAAAAAGTAACTTATGAAAAGTGACATTGTGTAACCTGTCAACAGAGATAAATTGTCAAACTTTTTTCCCGTCACAAAAAAATAACTATTTTTCAGTACCCGAAGGCACGCCATGCTATTCCTCCAAACAAGAGTACGGCCTGTGCGTCAGCCTCCTAGATTGCGATTCGATGCTGAGGCTACTGAGGACGAGAAGCACGGATCCTGATACCGCGGAATACCTGCGATCTTCCACTTGCGGGTACAAAGGCAACATCCCGATGGTGTGTTGCCCGCAGGCGGTTTCGAAGAGCAGTCTGATCGAGCAGCAGGGCAACGAGGCCGCCTCTAATGGGAATGGCGGAGGCGAGGGGGCCTCCCCGAACGACATCGGCAAAACCATACCGGAAACCAGAGCTAGGCTCTTGGATGCGCCGCAATGCGGTTTCACCAATGTGACGAACTATAGGGTGGTCGGAGGCGTACCAGCGAAACTCGGTGGGTATACTTGATGTTATTGAAATACACTTCCCCAGAATTAACGCACCATCAAAAAGTATCCAGAAGTTTTACGAACAATTTCATGAAAACTACTTGCCCGATTTGGGCGTTTTTTGGTTTGAATGACAGGTTATCTTCTTCTCTTCTTCTTGATTTTGGCATGAAAACTGTATTCGCATGAAAACTTCTTTTCATGAATGCCGGGTGTAGCTATTATAGCGTGTATTTTTTTCATCAAATTTGAAATACCCTGTGGAGTGTAACAATTATACAGTATCAAGTTAGAATTGAAACTTCAGTCTTATCTTTTTCCAACATTCCTGCTTTGGATTCATTCCATTATCTACACAATTTCATAGCATAACATGATTTTATTAAATTCAATTGGCATTATAAGGACGTAAGTAGCAGGCTACGGTCTAGGGAGACCTTTCTTTGCCTAAGCGCACTGAAATTGTGATCATTAAAAGAAGATGAAAGCCTTACAGCGGATAGGTACATATTGGAGATTTTAGAACAACATAAATAGTGTGAGGATTTTTTTATGCAAGATAATGCATGCGAGGCCTCAGGTCGTCCGAGTTGTGAGAAATTATCTAGAGGAAGTCGGTATTGATACCATGGCATGGCCAGCTCGGAGCCCGGATTCAAATCCCATTGAGGAATCTCTGGGACAGTCTAATGACAAGATTACAAGACGAACGTAACTTGAATACTGTGAAGGACGCACGGCTGAGACTGTCTCAAATTTGGGAAGACCTAGACCAAAATGACATAAGGTCTCTTCTTTTGAGTATCGGCCGTCTTTACCAAGAAGTTATTCTTGCTAATGGTGGAAATACTCTCTACTGACCCTTTCGTTCAACTTGTGACTTCGCATTCTGTTTCGTTTTTTCGTTATAATAGAACCTTAATAGAACAGCCATGTCCGCCGCAGGCGACGTTTATGAAGTTATCCTTGGGATGTCACAAAAATACATTCTCCCTGGTTTTGTCATATTACCTTTTCATACTCATCATGTGAAGTTAGCGCCGTTTTTTTTCGCGTAACTCAATTTTGGAGTTCTGAGTAGATTAGAAAGGGTTCTACAGTTCCTGACTGAACGGTGGTGATTTTCGAATGTTGACACCTAAATTTCTCTATTGATTGCAAATTAAATTTGATGATGAGTTACTAGAGCCATTCCCTAGCTATACCCAACTGATGGAACCTTCATCAAGTTATTCAATAAAATTGGTCTCACACTAATTTTTGACAGTGGATTTAAGTCATTTACTGAACATTTTTTGTGCCACATTTGAAGATTATATCTTCAATGTCAAAAGACGTGTCCTCCTGAAAACAAAAATCGCGAGTTCTTGATGGTTTCATGAGACATCATCTGTAGGTGTACCTATGTACTACATAGCTCGGTACATAGCTAATATTAATATCAGTTCTTGTCAAATGACTCAAAACTTAGTCAATACTCAAATATTTGTACAACACATTCTAGACGTTATCAAAATATATTCGAAAATATATAAAAAACTATTACTTCCATTGACCTTGCTTCTGAATATCGCACGAAGGTGAGAGTCAATAAATAAGTATGTGTCATTAAAATCGCGAAGAAGCCTAAGGTGAAAGAAACCCCTAAATTAAATCGGAAACGCAAAAAATGCAAAACAAAATCTGTGGGCCTTTTATTGTAGATTGTTATAATTTTAATTTCATCTTATTTCATTAACATGGTGGATTTAAGTTGAGACCTAAATGAATCGCATCAGGATTGTTGTGCTATATTATGGTGAATGCGGTTTCAGCCACCAAGATTTTAAATATTTTCCTCTGAATTTGATGAGACTTAATTTATTATAAAATACCTAAAGTATTGGTAACGCACAGAGGATGACACTAGAGGATATAATTTAATTTGCAAATTATATGCCTGTGGTGTATATTATCATAATAATAATTGTTAACATGAATTTATTAGATTTGAATAATTCATCAAAAAACTGTTATGCACTTCGAAGTCATCTAATTGATATACAGTTATGGGACACTTTTCATTATAACTCTGACATTAATGTCTAAAACTTGCATTGTACCTATACGTGATTTACTTTCCATATTTGATGGCAATTCATTGGAAATTCCAGTTCTCACCATCATGTTTATTTTTCTTCTTCTTTCTTTTTGCAATTATTTCCCTCATGGGTAATCTCATTTTATTAGTCCTATCCGGGTAAAATACTTAATATTTATGTGTCAGGGATTTCCCACTGACCCACTAATGTTAACTGATGAATACGAATTGATACTCTACCATCAGCGACTGGAGCAATTATATTAGCGGTCAACATTCTGCAATTTTCCCTAGTAATAAATACTTATAGAATCCATTCCCCATTAGCAATTTAAGTGATTACATATTTACTTTCTATCTCTCTTCTCTTCTCTTCATAAATAGGGTGTCGAAAAAATGAACGAAATTTTGATTTCGTATGACAATTGATCAAAACAGTTCATGTTTTCAATATTTATTCAGACACACCAATACGCTTGGTCACACGTTATATTTCTACATTATACTTTTGATAATCTGAAAGCTTGGACATTTCTGAACCAAACAAGAGCTTCATGCAAATCCGTGTTTCCTTTCTGATGGAAGCAGAGGATTCAGGTGTTAGAAAACACCAAATGACCTAATGGAATCATCATCAGTGGTATACACTGCTCGTCAGTAACCATGAAATCACCGATAATCCTTGAAAACTAATGAAAACTATATAATGAAAATCTCTTCGGATTTAGAAGCGAGATATCTGATCCAATAACGATATAATTTTTTTTCGGTGATGAAGAATATTTTTTCAGAAATGGGTTGCCAGCATTACAAATAATTTTCACATGCAGAGTTAACAAAATCTTGTTCTTACTCCAAATGGCTTCACCTCAGTAGACTGAACATGTATTATACAGGGCGGAACAAATGTGTTTCTAGGATCGACTAGTATTCAGATTAATTTTTTCGAATACGGAATTGGGTGGATAATATTTTCACAGCTTTTCTATTGGATTATTGGTTATACAAACTATAGTACTAGTTCGTAAAATACCACTATTTGATTACCTATAGTTTTTCAAAATGGTCTTGAAATTAGGCCAATATAAAATGATTCTGGTTAATATCACTTTGACGACCAGTCGAAACTCAAAAAAACCTTTTTTTGTTACAGATGAATTCCCATTCATTGTAGCTTTGGGCTACAGGAATTCTAAAAATCCGAGTGTTCCAAAATGGCTGTGTGGAGGCAGTTTGATATCGGATAGGCATATCCTAACTGCTGCTCATTGCGTTCACAACAGAAAAGACTTGTGAGTTCACAACAATTATCTGGTATCTTCTCAACCTATACATTCGCGAGCATTAATAAAATTACTTGGTTACACGCAGCGGTCTCACAGATCATAATCATAAAGAGTAGCTATATATAATTAATAATACACACATTTATTCATTCATTATTGCATTACAAAACAAAAACATTATTCTTGATATAACTAATAGCATTGTCGATGTCATCTGGGTCCTCCTCATCAACGAATTCATCATCTGTTTGAACTTCTTCAAACAAACGTTGAAGTCTCTCAACATCACTTTCGTAACTGGCCATAAGTATAATGAATTTACACATTAATAGTAAAAAAAATCACATTGACAAAATGTCATTTCACCAGAGAAATAGGTGACAAAAAACACGAAGTGGTGCCTAGGACCGCAATATGGCGTAGCACTTGGTCGATCTATCACCGTCTCAAGCTGGAGGCATACCGAAGCTCTAAGCTCGTGACAGTAGATAATCACAAAATTATGGCCGAAATTTACTTTTGATAGTCTGAGAGACCGCTTGCGTGTGCTTAAAGGTTATATGGATGTTTTTCACTGTTCAGATGAACCGGTCTGTATAACGAAATAACGGATATTTTTTTTAGGTATTTGGCACGTGTTGGGGAACTTGATCTTTATAGCAATGATGAGGGAGCTGATCCTGAAGATATCAGACTCATTAAAGCTAAAATACACGAAAACTACAGCCCAGTGCAATTCACGAATGATATAGCAATACTGACATTGGAAAGGAAGCCGAGGAATCGTTAGTATAGAAATAGTTTTTATCTTCGATTCAATCAATTAGTTGAGAAATCTTATGTATTATAAGTGTATTTTCATTTCAGCTCGTGTATTGCCAGTTTGCTTACCTCATGCTGAGCCCTTGAGATCCAACACTTTTCTCAAATACAGTCCTGTTGTTGCTGGATGGGGAGCTCTATATTTCAGTAAGTGTAACCTTTGAGTTTTTGTTGAAACTTCGACCGCGTCTTGAATTGTAAAAATTAGGAAAATATTTTGTTTGGAAGCTCATTCGTCAGATTTTCATTTTTCACTCAAGTTGTATCGATGCACACGATTATTCTACTAATGAAATTCACCTTCAGGGTTTTTTAAGCATCAATAAGTTATGAGCGTTATTACGAAATCATATCGGTAAATTTATCACAGATAGTTGATGATGATGTATATCAAAAATAAAGTCACAAATATGTACCTATCTTAATATGATAAGCAAACATTTCGAACATTTTCACGATATTTTTAAACTCTCAGAACTATACTCAAAGATATACTATTAAAAAAAGCATTTTTTATTCCTTGTATAAATAAATAAATATCCACTTACAAAATGCATTCGACTATCGTTTTTATCAGTTCTTCCTGCAAACAAATACAGTGTATACAGAGTGTTTTGAAGGTGAGGTGATTTTTTTATCTTTTCACGAAAAATCGTCTATAAAAGTAGCAAAACAATACGGAAGAATGAAGCATTGACGATTGAACATTTCATTCATTCGTTCAGTCGGAGTAGCGATGTTGCTATAAAATAATTCTTCTCAACTGTTTTTTTCTGTGCAAATCCAAGTTTTATACAAAAATACGGTGACGATTTTGAACAATGTTCAGTCTCCGAACTTTCATATACAACGTGTCTCAATTCAAACGCCCCCCTTCTATATACCTAAGTTATTAGTCGTGCGATTCGTACAAATTTGGACCGGTATATACCGGGTGTCAACGAATCTATTAGACATGTCATAACTTCTAGACCATTAGGTGTATCAAAATGAGATTTGGTATAGGTCGATGGTATGTGAAGAGGAGAGTTTTCACATATTTTTCACTTTCCGATCACTTCCGGTTTCACCGGAAATGGTTCCGGTTCTAGATTTTTAAATGGAACACCCTGTATATTGTAACATTTTTGGATTTCTGAGACAATTCTAGATCAGAATGTGACATTCTCGAAAGGTTTTATGCCTACTAAATTTTTTCGGAGTCTCTTTTGAAATTACATCTAGGTGGCCATGATCGGAAGTAAACTAATCTAAGGACCTCAAGTGATATCAGAAAATTACAATCGCGAAGTTTTAGTGACAAGTATGATAGATATGAATAAGACAAGTTGGCAAAATTACATTTTCGTGTCTAACTATTATTTTTCAAATGGCGACCATTTTTTGACAAGCACTTTCCGAAAAAAGGATATTTTGACGAATCTAACGATACTAATTTATTTGCGATTGGTTCAACAAATTTAACATAATGCGGTATTTTGGTAAATTTTGATCATCCATAACTCAACTAATTTTCATCCAAATATGCAACTCATATATATTTTTGAAATCAGAAAGAAATTGAAAAAATCAAAGTTGATGTCCTTTCCGGAAAAACGAAAGACCCTGTATATGAAGCAACTTCACGAAATAAAAGTTTGGATCGTTTCAAACAACTTTCTATTTCAACATTTCTTCACATCTCAGGAAACAAAAGAGTTGAGGAGGGGTTCCATTTTAAGAGGCACACCTTGTAAAGTATAGTTTTTGCAAAGTCACTTACTGAGCCAGCTTGATCGAAAAAGGACCGCAGCTGCGCCCGCCGGTCCCTCTGAAAAGTTCACACGGACCGTCGGCGATGTTTTTTGCTGAATTTGTCTCAAGTGACTTTGCAAAGACTATACCTCTGGTACCTTACCTAACCTCACGTGAGGCAACTCTGCTTAGTATTAGTATAGCATGATGTCATTCATAGAATGTTCATAGGATATACCCCAAATATTCTAGGGACGTTCTATGATCATTCGGAATGGACTATTTTCGAATATTCTGAGAATATTCGTTGGTATATTATAGAAGGAGGAAACATGTTCTGGTGGAGATGCAAACCTACTCTCTTGTGATTGATTTTTTTTATGAACCTTACATCTTTCCCACTGCGCTACGAACCTTACTGATGAATAATATGAATAGCAAGATGTCAACGCTTCATTATCGTCGGATAATTAGTATTGATTGCTAGAAAATAATAGGTTGGATCAGGGGAAACATAAATATTGATACAAAAATAAACGTCAATGTCATATTTTGATACGATCCTCTGAATATTCACAGAATAGTTATCCTATATAAAATTAAATATTCATAGAATATTCAAAAATAATGTTCTGAAAATATGTCAAATTGGATTTCCATAGAATATTATTTGTTGCATGAAAATAAATGATCAACAATCTGAACAATCTATCAGAATATTATTCTTACATAGGTATATTTGAACGATGTCAGAATATTCATAGAATAATATGTGCTGTCTGGGATATAGGTTTACCTCAAGTGATTTTTTTCTTCTTCAGACGGGCCATCCAGTTCAGTGCTCCAAGTCGCCGAAATTCCAGTCATCGATACAGGACATTGTCAAAGGGCGTTCGGGAAACAGACGACCATCGACGAGAGAATACTCTGCGCTGGTTGGCTGAACGGAATGAAGGATTCCTGCCAGGGGGACTCCGGGGGCCCCCTCATGTTCGGGAAGAGCCAGGGCAAGAGCCTGACGTTCTACCAGATAGGGATTGTGTCGTACGGGTTCAGGTGCGCCGAGTCTGGCTGGCCCGGAGTTTATACCAGGGTTACCAAATTCATAGATTGGATCGAGAAGAATTTGGATTGATCAGTATAAGGACTGAAGGCCAGCGTATACATTAGTCAACGTTGGGAGTAAGAAAAAAGTGATTTTTCTGATGATTCTGTCAATGACTGATCGAAATAATGGGAAGGTCTCGATACATTCTCATCCTTTTTCCACGCTTCTTCATTGGTTATCCTCATGATGATGTTATTCGCGTGTTTGACATTATTTATTGGTCGTTTCTTGTAGTTAGATCTTGAGAGGCATGCATTATTAAATAAAATATTTGTGATTTTTTGTTTTCTTTCCATCCCCAAATATTGATACACATTTCGTTTTTTTTTAGCCAATAAAATCCTTTGGCTGTACACATATATGTATTCATCAGGCATTGTTGATTTCAGCAAAAAAACTATTTGCGGAAACTGATTGTTTTGAATTATAAAGAAATAAGAATTGAATATTCGGAATTTTGGTAGCAGATTTAGGTGGAAACTAGAGCTTATTCATTTCTACGAACTGATGATGTCTATAAACAATCAACAATAAAACTACTCATTACAATAATATTTGAAGACAAAAGCGAAATAATTTGAATTACATCTGACAGATATTTGAAAAAAATCCTTAGATGGAAAACCGAATGTGAATCTTTATTGAATTGTCTTTCGTGAATTCACGAGTCCGGCTGGCCCGGAGTTTATACCAGGGTTTTCAAATCCATAGATTGGATCGAGAATAATTTTGGATTGATGAGTACGAGGGCTTAGTGAAAAAATCGCAAAACTAGTATTGAGCAACGAACATTTCCTGAACCCGAAATTTTAACAGGTTATTGAGCATAACAAAATAAGTAGAACTAGTTTTGACTAATTTTGAATGTACAAAACTGATTCTGTACATTTCTGAATGGATATATTTTTTTGGAAGAAGGTATATTTAGGCCGAGTTGGGTTAGATTGTTCAAAAAAGTAGTCTCATTTCTCATGCAGAAGGGATATTTTCCTTCCTCGTATTACAGAACATGCAGTATTTCCCTTGGATTATTTGGTCGGCCAGACCGTCCCGCAAAACTAGTTTCGTGATGCTCAATAACCGTATACAATTGAAATTTCGCGGGTTTAGGAAATATTCATTGCTAAAAACTAGTTTTGCGTATTTTTTTCGGGCATTGCTCGAAATCGACTATTGAGCGTAGGAAAATATACATGACTCAACGTTGGGAGAAAAATAAGTCGTTATTATGTTTAAAGTGATTTTCTGATGATTCTATCAATGACTGATCGAAATAATGGAAGGTCTCGATACATTCTCACCCTTTTTCCACGCTTCTCCATTTGTTATCATCATGATGATTTTATTCGCGTGTTTGACATTATTCATTCGTCGATTCTTGTAGGTAGTTAGATCTTGAGAGGCATGCATTATTATTGAATAAAATATATTGTGATTTCCTTCTTTTCCTTGCATCACCTAATATATAAACACATTTCGGAATAATTCGAAAAATTCTCCATATCTCGTTTTTCTTCAACCCAATGAAATCCTTTGGCTGTTTGTTTATTCTCCTTTTGGTTTACAAAGAAAACAACACTTCTTTCATGTATATTCACCAGGTATTATTATTGATTTCAGCAGAACATATTTTGTAATCAAGTAGACAATTTGCGAAAACCAATTTTTTTTGAATTGGAAAGAAATAAAAATTGGATATTCGAAATTCTGGTAGCATATTTAGGTACAAACTAGAGCTTAATTTCTATGAACTGATAATCAATTAGAAAATTTCGGACTGATCGCAAACAGGTTGTCAATTTTTACTTGTACGAATCCATGAACCTTTCATTCTTCGATGTTTTTTTTTGTTTCGAAGGGCATGCTGCTTCTCTTAAAAGCGATTTTGTTACGATTTTGTTTAAACTCCAAAATTTCAATGTACCTATGCAAACTATTAACATGCGGTGTTTTGAAATTCAGTTCATGTAAACAACAATTGCTTGACTCTAGAAATACAGTATTATGTAAACCCTCTAAAACGTAACCTATATGTTTCAAATTCGATCTGAATGTTTCGAAAACTGAAAGAACGAAGAAAAAATAATACAATTTTTGAACTTTCAACGCTCTGTACATCAGACGAAGCATTTGCGTTGTTTTGAATGGAAATGGGATGAAATTTGAATATTCGAAATTCTGGTAGCGCGGATCTAGAAATTTCAGATTTATTTCTATAGGAACTAATGATAATCTATTACAATATCTGAGAGTAAAAGCAAAATATATTGAAAAACATCTGACAGATATTTGACAAAATCGTTTGATGGAAATCTGAATGTGTATCTCTGAAAATTGTCCTTCATAAATTTAATAAAACGATTTTTGTATGAACATTGACGACTTACCCTGCGAAGTGAATAACTTGTCAATTTAAGCCAACTCTAGTAGGTTTAGATCAACCACTACCAAAATCGAAGTCACTTTCATTCGAAATCTTGCTGGTGTTTTGCTTTACACTATCAGTATCGGTATCCAACATGTCCAGAACTTTATTTTGGACGCCATCAACTTTACCATCTTCTTTCGGGTCGTGAGATATCTCACTGGAATCTCCTTGTGCGAAGCTACCTGCATTTCCGCCAGTTGAATTCAAATCAATTTTTTCCTCATGATGCAGCTGATCATTTCCTTGCAACATTTTCTCGCTTTCATCGTATTGTCCATATGACTGATCATAATCACCGTATTGTGCAACTGATGGCTGGTCATAAGGTTGAATGGGCTGACCGTTCTCGTCATATTGCTGGTAATGCAGATTTGGATCTCCTTCGAACGCTGGATAGGGCTGACCATGCTCGTCGTACTGAATCGCCTGACCATTTTCATCATACAGCTGCTGCTGTATGATTTGTCCATTTTCATCATACTGTTCCTGCTGCGGATTCGCCTGCCCAGTTTCATCATAGTGACCAATGAGCTGGCCATTATCGTCATACTGCTGCTGGTGAATGACCTGCCCATTTTCGTCGTACTGGGGTTCATACTGATCAATATGTTGACCATTTCCATCAAACTGCTGCTGCTGAATGATCTGCCCATTATCGTCATACTGAGACTCATACTGATCGATGTGCTGACCATTTTCAAACTGCTGCTGCTGCATCAACTGCCCATGTTCGTCATATTGAGGCTCATACTGGTCAATATGCTGACCATTTTCATCAAACTGCTGATGCTCTATCAACTGTCCATTTTCGTTGTATTGAGGCTCATAATGGTCAATGTCCTGACCATTCCTATCAAACTGCTGCTGCTGAATGACCTGGCCATTTTCGTCATGCTGAGGCTCATACAGATCGATATGCTGACCATTCTCATCAAATGGCTGCTGTTGCTGTATTGCCTGCCCTTTTTCGTCATACTGAGGCTCATATTGATCAATATGCTGACCATTCCTATCAAATTGTTGCACCTGTGCATTTTCGTCATGCTGAGGCTGAAAATGATCAATATGTTGACCATTCTCATCAAATTGTTGCTGTTCAGTTTCATCGTACTGATTCATAATCTCTGCTTTACCGTTTTCGTCATACATGGGTTCATGATGATCAGCAGACTGGGTATCATCCCCTAATGTATCGAGGGGTACAGAATTATCGTCTTCCACCAATTGACCATCATCACGAGTGTTAACTGTCTGAGGATTGTTTTCGTCAGATTGTCCAAGCTGTTTATCATTAATTGTTTGACTTGAAGGTGTGTCTCGGAGTTTCTCGTGCAGGCTTTCAGTTTTCGGTTTGGAAACTTGAGAATTTTTATTTTCCTCACGTTGAATCATAGTAGTTTCGTTGCCTAATGACTTTTGCTGAGGAGGAACTTGGATATTTGGTTGAACTTCATTATTTCGTTTAGTTTCTGTATTTTTTTCGGGGGGCTGTTGTTCAATGTCATCATTGACGTTTGAGCCATCTTCGCCAGTCAAATTATTTTCCTTCGTTAGACAATTGAGCTCTAGGGCAATTTTTGATTCATCTTCAATTGGATTCAATTTACTCAGTTTTGAAGATGCTGCGTCTTTTCCCATATCTCTAACAATCTTGTTTTCATGTATGTTCACAGAAGAGTTGGATTCGGTCGTAGGTTTGTAGTGAATATTATTATGTACTTCTCCGGTTCTTCTTTCAACTTTAGGTTCATTTTCTAATTCATAATAGCTCCTTGACGATATTTTTGGTGAGATATCAGACACATCTTTTGGAAGAACTATTTCATCGCATTTCCTAGGAGAAACTGAAGAAGGAAAACTTGTATTGTCAATGATGGGCTGAGGTGTCTCAGTTTCATCATGAAGATTTTTAGGTAACTTCGAAATTGGTTGTGTAATATCGGGTATCTTTGTTTCCAAAAGATCTCTTTCATAATGTCTGGAATATATGGAATTCATGATTTCTGTTGCTATCGAATTAGCTTTGTTGCTATCAAACCTTTTATTCAACCCTTCTCTGAGATTGTCCAATTGTTTTGTGCTGAATCGTTCGAGTTTGTCTTCTTTTGTTAAACTTGTAGGTTTTTTTTTCAAACTATTCAAATACTCATCTATAATGTCTAGTTTCTCTGTGGTGTCGTTTTTATATGCTTGTTCGTATTTAGGAAAACTCGATTCTACTTTCTCAGATTTTGGAATATCATTCACACTAGTACGATGGTGACAGTTACGACAAAATCGTCTGGGTCTCTGGTAAAGATCTTTTTTGGACGTCAACCTACTGATTCTTGCATCTATCTTCTCCAGAGATCGTACTATTTTCTCGTTCCTTTCTTGTCGTTTTCGATCTTCCTCCAGGAACACTTTATATTGGTGTCTCAATTTTCTGTAATGAAGTTGTTCCCTGTAATGAACATGGTGGAATAAGGTGCATGAATAGAATATAGTGCATCAATAATATATGAGGACACACCTTTGGAGTCGATGACCATAATCATAAATGTATATACAGAGAGAATGATCACTCAAGTTATTACAATTGATTTGATTTTCACATTAAAGTCAATCGCAAATAACATTCATTGTTTTTTGACATGTGGAACAAATCTTATAGGTATAGCTCAAAAAATGATGAAATTAATCTCTACGAATTTGTGCTGTAGTATTTTTTTGGTTCTTCTGGAAACGAAAAAAAAAATGAAATATCTCTTTGGCTAGCTGAAATCGAGTTTTACTCGATTTCACGTTGATGGATGATGCAAATGTAGCGACCATATTATATGTAGGTATATATGTCAAATTTATTAGTAGTGCAAGTGCGGTTATTACAAATATAATTGATAGAACTCACTCTTCTCTAGTAACTTGTATGATCTCACTGAATTTCATCTCCAACTTTAGTCGTTCCTCTTCACTGAAAATATATAGGTATGTTTCAAATTAAGTGCCTTATTAATATTAGTTTATAAGTTCACTCAAAAATTGTATTACGATGTTACAGAAACTGTAATGACGAGAATAATATTTTATCCGGATTTTCCGGATATTCATTTCAAAGCCCTGTAAAATCGGTGTGTAAAGTTTTCGTTGGGCCACTCTGTATGTACCAAAAGGGTTATTTCAATTGTATTGCATTGCAAAGCATTATGACGAGATAATATAACGTTATTTTATCCGAGAATCTGAAATCGAAGATATGAAATTGAGTGAAGTATAGAGATATATATTATGATGTTTTATACATGGCTCTTGTGACTTGCCGAACGAGCGATCGAATTGCGAGGCTGAAATATGGTGCTGCAGAACGATGATATATCGATGACTTCTTGAACTGTTTCGAAAAATGTGTAAGTTTTGAGAAGTGTCACTCAATTAATTAGAAAAATACTTTTGACTCGAAATAAGCATCCTATTTTATCCTCTACCTACCGTCCAAGATTGGAATGAAACGTTCTGAATAATGATGATGAAATATTAAATGTGGACCTAATCAGAGTCTATTGAATGTGGGCGAAGTGAGAATATATTGGTGAATGTAGACATGTTCGCGGAATATATATATATTGTATTAATTTTTCTATACAGAGTGAAATCGTGATCGTGAAATTTGCTGGAACGCGAGATATACCAAAAATGCACTCTATGACCAAGTGACGTCATCTACAGTGATTTACACTGTTCGCCAACAGCCAAAGAACCACCCCGATATCTGGAAAATGATATTGGGACTCAAAATAGATTGAAGATCACTTCGGATTCGGAATCAGGACGCCCAATTCACAAACTATTCATTTCTTTCCTGGAAAAATTTTCAGTTCTGAAAAATTCATTTTTGTCTCACTTTTCATGGAAACACCCCCGTGGTAGTATGAAGAAAATCGTTATCGATAATAATGCGTCAAAATATTGGAAGATAGTGAATTGGTCACTGTGATTGGACGTCCTGTTTTCGATTCCGAAGTAATTTTTAACCTATCTCTTGATATTATTTTAAGGCCATGTGTGTAGTTCCACGGATGTTGGCGAGCAGTGTATATATCACTGAAGATGACCATACTTGATGGTCATAGAGTACGTTTTCGGTATATGTCTCGCTTCAGCAAATTATGGGTGTTTCCAAGAAAGGTGAGACAAAAATGAAATTCTCAGAACTGAAAATTTCCCAAGAAAAATAAGAATAGTTGGTGATTTGGGCGTCCTGTTTTCGAATTCGAATTGATTTTCAACCTATTTCGACTCCTAATATCATTTTCCTGAAATCGGGATGGTTCCATGGCTGTTTGCGAGCAGTGTGTATATCACTGAGGATGACCCCACGTGGTCATAGAGTGCATATTTGCTATATCTCTCGTTCCAGCAAATTTCAGGATCCCTACCCAACGAATACGTTAAAAGTGAGACACAACACTGTATATTTGAAAAAATAAATTTATTATAAACGTTTAGTAAGGGGAGTGTATAATCTCTGGTAAACCTATAGCACGCTTTCGTAGAATCCAGGCGAATATTTACCTATATTTGAAATAAAAAAAAACTGGTAGTTTTGCACAGTTCAAATCTAGATGGATTTATTTGAGTTGTAGTGGAAAATGAAATGTAGGTATCTCACCTTCGTCGCAGTTTATCTTGTAAATCTATCACTTTCTCGTAATAATTTGCCATTTTTGCACCAAACGTTATATCCATGTCAACAAAAACATTACAACTTTCAGTCAAAATACAAACTGTTTGTATCAACCAAACTAAAACTACCGGTGCATTTCAGAGGCAATGAGGTATTATTTGAGGGTGAATATTGTGAAACCTGCGCTGTTCAAGAAAATAGGTCAGCTCGGCATATTCAATAAATACAGTGTGGCAAATGTTTGGAATTAATCCTCTTAAATATAAGTTCAATTCACCTAGTGAGTGAAAAAAGGTGTCTAATTACCAAAAGTAAGATTAAAGCAAGATTGAAGAGTTCTTGAACGACGCGGCACCTTTTTCAAGATATGCATGGTGTGTATACATGCAGGATGCTTTGAGTTGAGGTTGATAGTAGAAATAATTCTCACTGAGAAAAAAATATAGGTAGGTGTGTTTTAAGATGCCTATTGACCTCAGACCATATCCAGAATATCGAGTTATATGAAGAATAATAATAGAGCTGGATATATGGAAGTGGTCGAAATTTGGCGATATGAAATATAGGTTTGGGTTTGATCTTCAAAATCTGAGGATTCTCAAAAATAAGAAATGAGTCACCGGTTGAGAATAAAATTAAGAAGGGATTATGCTGATGTTAGAGTTCGAGCAGTTTACTCTCTCTAACGACCAATCTAAATACAATAACCTAGGTCGTAAACGACTGCAAATGAAAATGATGTAATCAGTTTAATTGAGGATAGGAAATTGCGTGCACCCACTTTTGATTAATTATTGAGGAAAATTACAACATTTCAGTGCCAATTGTGTTTAGGTATAAATGCACGCAAGGAAAGCAAATAAGGGAAAATCTTGATTCATTTTTTTCGTTACAATGTTTTCAATTCCTCTCCCTCCTATTTCTAAGTTACAGATAATTTCTACTGAAACAACAATGAAATATATGTATCTAATCAGAAGCACTTGATGTTCTACATTAATTTTTCATCCTCTGCAGTGAAGTTGGTGTGAATTGAGAAAGGATGTTTCATATTATTGTACTTAATATAACTGACGATATCTTGAAAAAAAATTCAGTCACTAATTTTTCAATCATGATGATCGAATTATAAATAAACTTTCATATCATATATATCAACTCATTCTAACCACAACTTTTTAGGAATATCGATTCAAAATAATAAAATGTATTTCTTTTATACTGAAAGGTCAAGTTCGTATCTTTGATATCCTGGTACGAAGACAATCGCGTGTATCCTGTCAAGGTATTAAATATATCTAGTCTGTGAATTCGACCGTGTCATCTCATTTTCATATACGCAGTGTCCCACAAAACATTTAATTACATTTTAGCGTAAGACCGACGAGGATACTCCTATGGAAATCAGAAGCTCTATGAAAAATGTTAGCAAACCACTCCATTATGTGAAAAATAATTGAGCGATAATTAATGAAGGGCAATATATACCGGGTGACCCCCTGTATCATCGTTGCTATTCTGTATGGATGTTTCAAATTTGGTAAATCGATTCAATTTCATGATGTTTTTTGTGACAAATGGCACATAGTTACATTTATAAGTGCAAACTGAATACATATGTTTGATACCAATATTTGATCATGATGCACGCAGTACAGCATAATATACATTTTTCATTTTATTTTTCTCTGGTTCCACCAAATTAATTATTGTGAATTCAACGAAAATCGATTGATTCATGGGAATTTTTACATTTGAAGGGTACACGGGAAAAACATGCTAAGTCAAGTCTTGTTCGAATGGAGATAGCAGCGCTGTTAGGTGTGGCTAATTTAGGGACTTTTGGAGGCACATATGTGAACAGGAAAAATGCATGCTAGGTTCCGTAAAATAAATTGTTTCAAAATACGCATACACGGAAATAACAGAGTAAGTCCTCGCGGTTCGGGTGAAAAACAAGTCAAGTCATATCGCTCGTTATGATGCAGCGGTTTTACTGTTTTATTTTCAGCAATAATATCCCTAGGACCTTGGTAATAGACGAGATAATTTCATGACCGAGGGCTGTTACCAAGTGAGAGCCTGAGAAATTTGTGATTGATAATTGCACTGGATGCAATTATCAGTATAATGTTGGTTTCATTGGTAGTGATCAATCATATGACCACAAATTAACTGACCCAAAGAAAGAATTTTAATAGACTTCAATAATTTACACTGTCGAGAAATGAACAAAATATTATATTATTTTTCTTGTTTTGGTAATATGTTACTTGTTATACTTTATATTTGAATAAATATTTGTTGCATAGAAACTTGTTCAAAAACAGGTGAAGAAAAAGCTGTAAATTTTTTTTGTTTTTGGAAACGGGCTGATCAATATGTTATAAACTTTAAAGTTCCATAGTTATAAGATCTATTAGAAGAGTGAAATGAGTTTCGTATGGAATATAACATCAGAAAAAGAAATATTCAAGATACAAACCTTGAAACAGTGATAACTCAGAACTAGAAAATTTGACTTAGCCCTTCATTTGACGATTTCAAAGTTCCTCAAATCGAAATATTTTTCTAGAATGCAACTTATTTTCATTTTGACATACCTATTATAATTCTTATAGAATGTATATGCATGTAAATAACATCAGATTTGAAGTTACCCAATAAATCTGAATTATTATCATTGTATTTATTGAATATGATAGCAATTTTTATTGGAATTGTTCATTATCAGAAACGACCAGGCAATCTAGAACGATTCACCATGGAATGAAGCAATTTTCCCGTACAGGTCGATTTGAATGCGGTTTTTTGCATTTTGTTCAGAAAGCCTGGTGGCGAAAATGCATCGCATCCGGCAAACCTGTCAAAATGAACGAAACGCCGCGAAAATTGGTACAGGGGGGTTTGGGGGGCGCTGAATTCGAATATGCATGTACAAAATTCACTGGACCCCCTGGGGGGAGGCACGTGAATTTCAGGATTCTCTGAATTGCTGGAAAATGCCTCTCGGTGGTTTTGGCGGGCGCTGATTCCGATTTCGAGCGTGGGGTAGTGCCGGATTTATAATTTTCATGAGTATAGGCATAGATTAAGGGGAGTCGTTAATCTATGGTATAGGCTACTTCATTTTGTGCCGCCTCTTCATCTTTTGTTGAAGTTCCCATGTATCACTTACGTCAATATATGCTTACCAAAGTAACCTAAGATGTAAGAAAATCAAGACAATTGTCGAATATCTCTCAATCAAGTAAGCTATTTTGTGTTTTTCGTTTCCAATATTGTGTTGCACAATTACAGCATTGAAAAATGAAATAAATTGGAATCACATTTTTTTACGAGATTTTTTTGCAGGATCATCAATAATATCAGCATATATAGTATTTTATGTTACTTATGTCTGCTTCTATGCATAGAGAGACAAAGAGTTTAGTTTTTCTTGATATAATATGACGACCTTTGGTAATACGTCAATGGTTTCAATAAACATGAAAAACTTCGGAACAATCTATGGCCGGAGTGCAAATAAACGCTATACAGAAAGCTAGGTATGTGGAGTTCAAAATCTGGGCCCGCCAAAAACCCCGAGAGGCATTTTTCCAAGAATCTTGAAATCCCCGCGCCCCTCAAGCTGCCGGAAGTACATGCATAATATTCTAATTCAGCGTCCCCCAAACCCCCCACTACTAATTTTCGCGGCGTTTCGTTCATTTAGATGCGATTTTATGCACCCGCGATGCATTTCCGCCATCTTCTTCTGAACAAAATGCAGAAAACCGCATTCAAATCGGACCTGTAGGAGACAATTTATTTATTTTTCTCTGGATTGCCTGGTCACAGGCACAATTTCAACATTCTTTTAAAGTTGGTAATATTGTATTACAAGGAGTAGAAACAAAATTGAAATAAAAATGTATTATTTTCGGAATTATGTAAATCAAGATAACATGTTTTGTAATATAAACACTTCCAGAAAAATGTAAAACATTTAAGAATAATTATACAAACATCTAATTTCTAATAGTAAATATAAAAAATAAGTAAAATATTGAATAAACCAAATCACTGAAATATTGACAGATATAAAATTTCCATTTTTTGTAAATTCAATAAATAATTAATAAATAAAATGAGAACACAAGAAATCTTAAGTTTCCATTAATTAAGACTATAAATATTGCATCACTTTGAAAGATTGTCTTCAGATATTCATTCACGATTCATAAAAGTCACGATCAACAATTATATACATACAGTAGAAAATGCATAGGAGCTAGCAAGTGGTCTCCAGCAGTATACAGTGGCATGCCGTGAGACACACTGGCGGAACACTGCGGCAAATTGTCAATAATGGTAAATTTGTGGTAATTTGAACACAGGAAATCGGCTTCATAATTGTTGAAATGTCTTTGATAGCCGGTCCTGCTGGTGCTGGCTAGAGCAGTTTTTCACCAACTGAACTTGATGTACCTGAACTAAATGTGACATCTTCACCTGCTAGTATTTGTCAGTTATCTAGTTCTACCATCACAAATTGCCTAAGCCTTTCCAGATAGACTGTGTACAGCTCCACATCATTATGACCAGCACCCTGTAAATCATTTAAAATGTTCAGTTGAAGAAATATGACTGATAGAAGGGGGATTGTTTAGTTGCCCTGTAAAACAGATGTGGAAAACTATAGAGAACAGTATTTGATATAACATGTTATCTGGCATGTCATAAAGTATTGAGAACTTAATGAATACATTCATTCTGCAAGGTAAAACATGGACCATTCATGAATCCTGGTATTCCATAAATACAATAGGACACACAGAAAACAATGTTATCATATCTTATCTGGCTGGTTTTGGCTGACAGCCCTGTTTAACAACTGCTATAAATACTAGTTATATTGACTAAATTGACCATATCCATTGAGGGAATTGAATCAAGAAGGAACATACCTCCACCCAAAGTGGTTCCACAGCTTTAGGGCATTTTTCAAATATTGTCAGTCCATGAGAGAAGTCTATCACCTCATCTTCAGTACCATGAATAATCAGTGTTGGAGACATAACTTTTGGAACTTTATCAATACTGCAAAAAATAAGGATTTGGTTGGTTATAAATATGATGACTAAAATTTGAATATTTCATGTTTTCCATATGCATTTCAATATCCATCAACTTTTACTAAATTTTATAATACATTCATTTCACATTTATCATTTATAAATATATAAATATAAATATATAAATAATCAGAAATCACAAAAACATATTTTCATTCCATTCTTGTAAATATGTAAAGATAAGTATTGATTTTGGTATTAATGAGGGACCAAATATGGAAAATATTTAGTCTTCAAGATTCCAGACTATATAAAAAACAAATTCAGTTATCTTATCATGATTGCTTGATTTTGAACACTTTTCAATTCTTTTTCAATCATCTATGCAGATAGCTAAATTATACAGTGGCCAGCTGAATGTATCCAGCACATGGAAAAACAAACTCAATCATCACAAAATCATTTCAGATAGTTGTTGAACACTTGTATTTATCTGAAAAATATAGGAAATGCCAAAATACTTCAACTCATATTATGAGGTATATTTCAGTTCAATATCAGTATGTAGATGTACCAAGATTTGTCATTCATTGAATAAATAGAATCATTTTAGTAATATAATTAAATCGAATATACATGATTTGGTAGCCCTGCATAAAGTGACAGAACAAATAGTTTTATGAATTCATAGGAAAAGAACAAGATTATAAAAACTAGTAATAATGAAAATGGGTAATCTTTCAGAATTCATATGAAAACTCAATTGGTCAAGTCTATGGTTTCAAGATATGCAGAAACCTCAGCAGAAACTATATAATAAAAAACACATTTCTATGCCCTTTTCTGTTGACAAACAATCACTCACTCTCTCACTATAGAATGGCAAAGATTTGGAATTATTTGCCAATGGAAGTATTCCCAAGAACTCATAACCTCCCAGTTAAAAAAAAATTCCAATACCTACCTGCTCTCCCTATCTTCTCATAGTATGCATTTTTTTCTTAGAATATTATAGGATGTGATTCATGAGATAAAAATACAAATTTCATTGTTTTGTTTATGTATATATAGATTGAGCTGTTGAAACCTAATGAGGCTCGTCAGTTGGGCCTAATATCAATATACTAACCTGGGGAAGGCATCAAAAAACCATGTCCTTTTTGTATTTGGAAAGGCAACTCGCATTCCTGACATGAGAGGAGAATGCAGTATCACAGCCCCAACTTCATATCTAGCAGCTAAATCCACAGTTGGTACAGTGCCAATACTTTGGCCATACAAAATAATGTTCTCAGGGCTGATGCCATATCTTGTTCTCAGTGCTTGCCATGCAGCATCAATGTCTGCATACAGATTTTTCTCTGATGGTTTTCCAGCACTTACACCATAACCAGAATAATCATAACTAAATATATTACAATTGATACGGGATCCTAATCCCAAGTAAAAACTACTCATTTGTCCCAAATCCACTGCATTACCATGTGAAAATAATATTGTGAACCGGGCTGTACTACTGCATCTAACAAATAAACATGCAATTCGATTTCCCCTGTTTGTTCTTGTGAAAAACACTTCTACATTCTCTTTTTCTCTTTCTGAAAATTGCCATTCCGCCCGTTCAGTTAATGCAAAACTGCATTTCCCATTCTCATCGGACATGAATTCATATGTAGGTTCAGGTGGTAAAAAAGCTAGTTTAGCTGCTATCCTGCTAGGACAAGGTGGACAACAGAATAGGCAACACAGTTCACTGAAACTTAGTCCGTTCATTTTTCATATACTATCCAAAATTAATCCAATTCCTCAAGTTATTTTCAACAGTTTCTCATTTTACTAAATTCTTTATGCTATAACAAATTGTTTCTGTACATTGTTGACAACAATGACATCGCCATTTTAGAACTAAACTTGGAACTTGGAAGACAAGTTTGCCAACTGCCAACAGTGAAAACATGTCTGTGTCAGAGGTCAAGAACGCCAACAGTCTTTTGTAGAAGCTTCTAGCCATAGCACCACATCGAGATAATTTTAATAGTCCCGCGACCGCCTGCCGAAACGTAGATGCCGTGCCTGAGAATCCTGAGATGGCATCTCTCTAGGCATCTGATATGGATGCAATGTGGTGAGGGTGATGATAAAAGAAATATCCTAACCATGATACAAGGAATCATGGAATCATGGATCCTAACTGTCTATTTGTTTTGTACGTCTGCAAGAAACACAATGGCGCATGATAAAATGTTGGAATGAAAAACGCACCCATATGTGTGCCCTGCTTGATATGTCGAAGGTCCCGTATTCAAATTTCTCTTTTCTTTTTTCGAAGTAATAAATTGAAAAAAATACTGTGGAGGCATTTACTGTTGGGGCCGATAGTCATTCGCTAATTTGATTATGTTTTTTTCTTCAGTAAATTTTCTGTATTTTTGAGTTATTTGTTGCGCACTGTCTCTTTTGCGTTCTGTCTTTATATGCCATTACTCAGGTAGTATTGAATTGAGCATGTGCGTGGCGGCCATAGAAATAATAAATTATTTCTATATCCATCATTGTGGCGGCTAAAAGATGGTGTACGTACTGATGCGCTTTCAGAAATTCTTCTCGTCCTTCCCAGCACTTCCCAGTATTGTTCCGAGTACGATGTTTTTGGTGGTTTTTGTATAGATGGCGACATTGCACAATTATGACATCTGTCAATTTTTGAATTGGCGCATATATTTCGAATTTAGAGTGAAATAAACCAGCGGAAAAAAGTAGATTCAACGTCTCACTCGATGTGACATAGAGAAATCATAGTAGGCGGTCGAGTGATTTTCCTTATGTTTTCAATAATTATGTAAAAATGTAAATCTATAAAATCCTGTGGAGGCCGAAAGTGATTCAGACGGTGATAGCGTTTATCCGAAAGCGGGATTGTTACCTCGATGTGGTGCTTTGGCTAGACGCTAGTGTCATATGTCACTTCATTCTTCATCAGTCTTTTTTGTGTTTGTGAAGTGAATACTGAAATTACTGAATAATTCTGTTTCTTGTATTCTCGTAGAAGTTGTGATAGTGAAAAATTAAATGAAAGTATTTTGTTGTTGATGTTTGATGAAAATTGTAATTGAATAAGGAAATCATGAGTGTTTAGTATAATCATGTTCAAGGGTGAAACAGAGTCTCCAGCTGAGTTAGAATCCCAGTTTGTTTTGCGTTTACCTCCTGTAAGTTTTTTCCTAGTTGATCATAACATGAATGTGTTTTGCTTTGTTTTGAAAAAAACGGCTCCTTCCCAAATTTGATGAATTCATTGATATTTTGATTTTCAAAAATAAAATATTTTCGAGTAGGTATAACCTACAAAGTGATGATGTTTCCCAATATTTTGGGTCCTTTCAGGAACCCGCGAAAGTCCTTCGTGAAGCAGTTCGTAATAACAGCAATTTAAAAGATCGAGTAAGCATCAAAATAGAGGATGATATGAGACATGGTGAGGTCCGAGTGGACCACTGGTTGATGACTGCAAAAGTTGTAGATTTGCCAACTATTGTTGAGTCTCTCAAAACTATTGATGGAAAAGGTTTTTACAAAACTGCTGATATATGCCAGATGTTAATTTGTAAAGAGGAAGATGATCAAACTACATCAGAAAGAGAAGAAGACTCTCCACAGAAGAAAAAGAAAGATCCAAATAAAGTTGAAAAGAAATATTTGTGGCCACATGGCATAACTCCTCCAGCAAAAAATGTCAGGAAGCGGCGTTTCAGGAAAACATTAAAGAAAAAGTATGTTGAAGCACCTGAAATTGAGAAGGAAGTAAAAAGACTTCTTAGAATTGACAATGATGCTGTAGGTATAGTATTTTTTCAAACATAGATATTAACTTTTACTAAGGCAATTTATATTAATTAAGGTTAGTGTGAAATGGGAAGTTATCAATGAAGAAGATGAGAATAAAGTTAATAAGGGTACAGTCATCAAAAAAGATCCAAGTGAACCTCCTAAAAATGTTGCTGAACATGATATTTTTGGAGGAGCTGTTAGTGATTCAGAAGAGGAAGATGCACATCTGAATGTTTTAGATATTCTGGATGAAAACAGTCAGAACTCTGGGGATGATAGTCATTTAACAGATTCTAATTCAGTTGTGAGTATCATGATTCAATTATTGTATGCCTATTTATTGGTTATTGAATCTAATAAATTATAAAATTGAAGTAGGTAATACCTATTCTGGAGCCTATCATTTTGTTGTTGACAACAACCATTATTAGTTTACTATTATCTAATTTTCCTGAGATATTGGGAAATATAAGCAATACTTTTTAGAACAACTCAGCTGAGTCGAAGTTACTGACTGAGTTCACTAGTGACATGTTCAGAGAACTTCAAGGTTCTCCAAATCTCATTCAGGATATGGAATATTATCAACAATCATCATCTAGTTTATCTTATAGTGAGCATCAATATAGAATTCCTGTACAGAAAGGTAAGTTTTTTGTTAGTGCATTCATGCATATGAAAGATATTAAAAAAAAAACTTTTGAATGTTGAGGGTGTTTGTCTGATAAATGATCAATAATTATTGAAATTTTCAGCTAGTATTCAGGCAAGGATAGAACAAATTGATGCTGAACTGGCAGATCTAAAAGCCAAACGACTACAGCAAGAAGTGAAAATTGAAAATATAGAAAATATTGCTCTTAGACAGAGATTCCAAGACAGTTTGGAAAGTCTACTTCAAGATCAAATTGAAAAGGAACATGAGAGGTATGACCTCACAGAGATCTTGAAACAGGGTATTGATTGACATAATATGGAAAATGTTTATAATATTAATTGGTGATTTTGTGATGGGATCAATTGCCTAAATATTTATTTGAAATCTATTCAGGTGTGTATATTTATTAGTAGTGGTATTTACATGGGGAAGAAATGTTTCAATTTTTATTGTCTATTATATACACAGATCTAATCATATATACTCATTAGATCTTTGATTTTATCTATCATTTATAGTCTAATTCAAATACAAAAATATGTCATGTTACATTTACAATTAACATTAATTATGTACAGGCTATTTCAAACAATAAAAGGTAAATTACAGTTTGCTCAATTTTTGTACAGTGCAATATTAATCATCCTTTTCTGACATCATCACTTATGTAAAGTCTTTTTTATGCAATATGGGACTGTGACTACAATGAGCTAAGAGTAAGTACATCATCCCTATAATGTCAGCAACTGTCAACTTGTTTTTTCAAATAGTACCATATGTTTTTTAATTATTTTTCTGTTCGAGATTTTCCTTCTGAAAACAATGATATATGATGAGTTGACTTTTGGACAAAGTTGGTTGAAATAAAAAATAAATGCTCAGTTGACAAGAAATTGATATTTTTGTAAAATTTTGAGATGTATCACTGAATGTGGCAGTAAATGCCTTATAAATAAAACGTCCATTCTAGTGATATTTACTTCCTTATTCAATGATACATCTCAAAATCATATGAAAATATCTATTTTTTGTCTTCTGACAGTCAACTTGTCATACATCCCTGTATTCTGAAAAAAAACTTGATGAGAAAAATATTGTAAATAAAACTTGTGGTGCCATCTGATACAAAAATTGACTGTCGCTGATGTTACAGTTGACATTTGAAAAAATAATAATCAGAGCCTACTCATAGCATTTGATGTCATTTCTATTGCATTTTTGTTTTTCAGAAACGAATCATTAATAACCTTGCTATGGCATTTTTTGGTCAGTCAGCCTGACCTATGAAACATCAATTTTTATGATTTTCATTCAAATGTTGAAAAAACATACAAAAATTATGAGCTTTCAAAAAGTTTAATGCCCTGTATAGGTCAAAACGCCTAAACAGATCGGTGGACACTAATGGACAAGTTGCCGAAAGTGATCAAAACGCCGAAACAGCTATTTCTACACTTCGCCGAAAATGGTCATAATGGCGAAACAGCTGTTCGGCCGAAAGTGGTGAAATTATCGAAATAACTATATATTTCTTCTAATAAACATTTCTAATCTCAGGAACAAATCCATTCAGAAGATATTGGATTTTTTTACACGGTGCAGTATCAGTTACATAAACAGGGTGTTCCAAAATTGCTGGGACAAGGAGCTACCACGTGTAATAGAGGTCAAAATAAGTTGATTGTCCCCATTTTTTTTTCCAAAATGTTTGCCCATGAAAAGAGTTCAATAAAGTTTACATAAAAACACACATTTTTTACGCGTTTCAGACATGCGTGAAACAAATCAAATGAAATTTGACAAAAGTGCATTTGAGAGGATTACTCCCCTCTCGGTAGCGAAAGAAACACAAAAAATTCGAAATTTAGAAGGTTGAAAACGAGGTTGAAACTTACCCTCGCCCAATGACATTTTTCTCAGAACATTCTTAGGGGTGGTATATCTACTGATATTCCTAAAATAATTATCCAAATCCGAAATATAAAAATGTGACGAGAATCTTATTTGAATAAAGATTTGGGAATCAAAAGTCAAGGAGCTCAGATTTTATTCTGTATTGCTCAAAATTATTTTAGATACCAATAATCATAAATTAAAAGGCGTTGTGGAAAAAAGTAAATCCCCCATGGTACACTTCTTGGTACGCCACTGGTATCTTCTAAACTAAACGGTTCCTGGTCCTTGTTCATAATTATGAACTTGTTTCCTTCAGTACCCACCTTTTACCGCTTTTGCCCTGAAAGTTTCAAACACCCCGTGTACGCATGCCTACCTAAATCTGTGACGTCACACGGACACCGAGATGCACATGCACAATCTGCAGCATGTGGTTGGACGTCCCACAAGTAGTGGGAGAAGCGCCACATGGTGTTCAAATGATGTCCCGCTAGCGCTCTCTGAGTCTAGAGTCTACTCTTTCGTTTTTGTTCCTCCTGTCCTGTCCCTGTCGGTGGAAGGCGCGCAAAATTGTTAGGCCTCTTTGCCTTCACCAACGTCGTAACATGCGCTAGAAGGTGGTAACTGACAGACAGTACCGCGCGAAACCTGTTCGGCTGTTTATCATTCGAAATGGCAGAAGAAAATGTCCAGACCGACCACAACGTCGAGTACCATTTAGTTACTATGTTCGAAAAGCTGGAATCTTTGAGACACGAAAGCGTCAAGATTATGGAAAATGCGAAGATGCCGATGCAAGTGGAAATTCGTACTTTGGAGTTCTGGAGGTCCGTGATATCTGAGTGCTTGGCCTCTTTTATTTATGTTTTTGTGGTCTGTGGAGCTGCTGCAGGTGCTGGGGTGGGTACTCCTGTTCCGATCTCTTCGGTGGTTCTTGCTACTGCTCTTGCGTCCGGTTTTGCCATGACTTCCTTGACCCAGTGCTTTGGACATATTTCTGGTAAGTCTATTGTTTGTTTTGGTTGATCATCGTATATTCTTATTCTTATTGTACTCATTAAAAATACGTCTTTAGGTATAAAACACATCAAAAGACAACATTTTATTAAATCAAAATTTTCAGTTTTTCTATTCTTTTGAATGATTTTTCTTATAATATTTTAGTTTTCTTCTCCGGGAATAAGACACTGCATATCCCCCATGGATATGTTCCTTGTGGCGGTGGCTCCCATGCTATTATAAGAACCTATTTTCTAAAATTCCACACACACAAGAACACAATTTTGGTATACAGGGTGTAACATTTGTACGTTTAAATATTCAAGTGACGTATTCCTGAGAATATTTTGAGAAAAATAGTGTATGTAAATTTGTGTTCGGAGATACAGGGTGTTGAAATTGAATTTTTGTGTTCGCTTTTTGAGAATAATTTTTGCAAAAAATCAGTTGAGAAATCATATTTTTGTATTCATTTTCATGTAACATCTATTTCAAATTGCCCTAACATTTTTGACAGTAAACTTCTGGTACTTTTCATGGAAAAATCTTATTACCACATCTTTTCCAAGTAAAAAAGGTACACACTTCCTCAACAACGCTGGAGGTGATCGTTTTGGAGATATTTACAATTTTTTATATCGATCCATGTTACTCATTGACTCCTAAGGCGCTAAGTGAAGTTGCTGAGAACTTTACTAATCTAAGTAGTAGGTCTCATCAAAATAAACTACTTTTTTCCTATGAAATGTTTATCGAAAAAATATTTGTTCTTTGTATTTAAACACCCTGTATCTCCGAAATGAACCATTTCCGGACAAAAGTTTATGTAGACTTTTTTCTTAAAATCGTCTCAGGAATACTTTACTTGAATCGTACTTATGTTCCACCGGAAGTTACAACTGTATATTTCAAATAAATATATACGTATTTCTTTTATACTAATTGAAGAAATTCAAGCTCTTCAGTATATTCTTTTGGAGTCATAAATGTATTTCTTGGGATGACTCTTGTTATAATTTAGAATAAGATAACATTTTCGAAATTTTACACTTCAATGTTGATGTTAATTGCTTCTAATTATGTTTATTAATTGGAGTAATTGTCTCGTGCATCAATATTTTTCCAGAGCAGATGTTTTATAGCGCAAAAAACATTCGAAACGCCGAATGTAGAATGATCTCGACGATTAAAGGAAATATAAGAATAGTGGTATATCAAAACAAGAATTTCAAGATTTTACAATAATTAAACCATAATTATTTCATATAAAACATCATGATACAATCAAGCTTGAAATTTGAATTAATTAATTTTTCTGTAGACTTTTATCCCACACCGGAAATGTACACCTTGTATAAAAATGTTTGATGTTTCCGTTTCAGGGGCACACATTAATCCTTCTGTTTCTTTGGCGATGGGTGTGATCAAAAGGATTTCCGTTCTAAGGACCATTTTATTCATCTTCGCTCAGTGTGGGGGTGGAATAGCTGGTGCAGCATTTTTATACGGGTAAGTTGATATTTCCTTTGAATTTTCAGCTGCTAAAAATGTGTGAAGTTTGGTTTCCGCTGATTTTAATCATAATTTTTGGGCATTATAGAAAATTTTCAACAATTTTGTGCCTTATGATTGCGGTTTCTCAAATTGAATTTTATGTTGTAGTGAGGTAAAATAATTTTGGAGCCTATATACAGATAATATATTTTTGAATAAAGTCTACCTAGAGTTTTTGGTGTACTGTGTTATCTAAGGTCACTTATTTTGCTTTAGATTTGGGTGCAACTAAAGGCTGGAAATTATAATTTTCTTTTCCTTTTTTACATAGAGATACAGTTAAATCCATAATACTTTGACCACAGTTTTCAAAAAACTCGTGTTCTTTGGGATTCCAGTGATATTTAGGTAATAGGTTACTGGAGGAATGAAAATAGTGGCGTGAATTTTGAAGCAGAGATATAAATATCATATCAAAAAATATAGGCTTTCATATTGAAAATCTAATATTAATGATCTTCTGGAATTCGATGAAAAACAATAAAGTAAGTGTAATGTCTTCAAAGGATCGAGAAATGATGAATAATAGTATTCTGAAGAAATATATATTGATTGACAGGATTCAAATTATATAATGTATGATGTTTACAAAATCCCACTATACATTGTTTTTTATACAGAGCTTATTGATTAACGAAACTAAATAAGGAAATAACATATATACATATATAACAGTAAGTAAAGTAAGTAAGTAAATTTATTCAAATCAGATATAACAGATACGTCTTCAACAGAAGCAAAGAGGATACATGCATATATAAATTCTATAATCCTAGGAGAACCATTGAAAGTTGCGGCTACCTAAGCAAGCTTGTATTGTAGCCCCAACAAAATAGTAATCCTATTCCTAAAAAATTCCCTGACTGAAGAAGACGAACCGGAGTCGAAACAAGCCACAAACTCAACAGGTTTTCAGGTTTTCGAACCAAAGAATATTTTTGCTTCTTTGGATTCTTAGACTTTTGATTTTGAACAAAAGGGTCAAAGGCGCCACAAAATTCGTGGAGATTTGCGAAATCCCAAAAGTTCTTTTGCTTTCGTCAAATGAATCCGAAACAGTAAACTGGGATTCGGGTTTCACCTTAACCCAACGATATTTTAGGGTGCAATGTGTGAGATTTCGACCTTCCGGGTCTCATCAGTTAGGCGAAGAAGCCTAAGAGCTGATTTGATTATTAATTTAATTTAGTTGGTTCAAGAAGTAGTTCTCAAACGCAAAGAACAATGTTTGTTCATTTTGCCAAAGACACAAAGGCTGTGCCCGTGTCGGCATCTGCGGAGTTCTACAATGGGGAAGACCACTGATTTTTCACAACGACATCATCTTGAGCTCTACAACGAAAAACTATCAATAATATACATTTGAATTTTCTCATTCATACTAGGGCGATAAAAAAAATAAATTGATATATATCCATTTCAAAACACACACTTCCTGCGCCATTCGAAATGGTGTCAATTCATTGGTGTGATTGGTGTGACGTATTAGTCCCGACACGCCTATTGTCTTTGAGCCGACCAATTACACTGCAACACTGCAGAATGGCCAATTATCAGGGAGAGATAGCTACAGTTCGGGACTAATACGTCACGGCTCCACCTTCATATCTGCTTTTTGAAATATCGAATGGAATATGCCGATTTCAAAACGCAAACAATTCGATTCTCTTCAACTTTCACGAATAATATTGATTGCTCATTACATGCGAATAATCATGCTTCATCGATTGAAAAAGGTTTTGACGGTTTTTATCTCTCAGTGTTCTTCCCCATTTCGAGCGACTTTTGTCTTTTGTGCTATGCACTTTTGACTTTTGTCTTTGCTCAAAACTATTCTGATTCATCACTATCCTATAGACAAACGATTGTCAACATACTTGATTCATTCAATATATCGATGCATGTCGATGCACCCACACGAATCTGTTCTAATTCGTCTACCACTATAGACTTCATATGTTCGAACCTAGATAAAGATCTTGTCGATTGCTCTGTATTGAATGCTGGTTTGTCTGATCATGAAGCAGTTGTTTGTAAATTTCCATTCAAAATCAAGGTGCCCAAAGAGGAATTTAAAAGATGGGGTAGAATATTTTCGGAACAGAATTATAATAAGTTTTCACAGCTTTGTGAACTTGTAGATGGCCGTGATATATTGAACAGAAATGACCCACTCGATGAATTCCATAGAGTACTAACTGGTTTATTCAATCGCTCCTTTCCTATTAAGAAAATCAGGTGTAAAAAGCAAAAATTATGGATCACAAAAGGATTGAGAATTTCCGGCAAGAATCTGCGCTCACTTCACAGTATACGGAAATTTTCAATGAATGGCACCTCATTTATTGATTATTACAATAAATACAGAAACATCTATAGAAAATTAATCAAGACTGCTAAATCTCTATATTATAATTCTAGAATTAATTGCTCGTCCAACAAGCAGAGAGAATGCTGGAAAATCATCAATGATTTGAGAGGGAAAAATAATACTATTTCTCCCAAGACGAATGTGAATCCCGACACAATGAACGAATTCTACTGTTCCATAGCGGACAAACTAGTTGAAAAGTTATCACCCTCGTTTGACCCTAATTTTTATTTAAGCCATATTTCAATACTTGAGAGTTTTTATTTTGCTCCCACAGATGCCACTGAGATAAGAGAGATCATTGTTGATATTAAAAATAAGAGTACATCTGGGTGGGATGATATATCAGCTAATATATTACTCAAATTAACTCATGAGATGTTACAAGTACTGGCTGACTCAGTTAACCATTCTTTTTCGGCTGGTGTATTTCCTACCTGCTTGAAAATTGCTAATATCATCCCATTATTTAAAGGTGGCGAACTCAATTCCCCTTCTAACTTCAGACCGATTGCTTTGCTACCAGCATTATCGAAAGTGATAGAGAAATTAGTGAAAAAAAGAATGGTGGCTTTTATAAGCAAACATAAAATTTTAAGTCCTGATCAGTATGGCTTTCAAGCATCTAAGAATACGAATGATGCAATTTTTGCATTTCTGGAAAGACTGTACCTCAGGTTGATTGATGGTGAAGTAGCTGCTGCAGTATTCTGTGATCTATCGAAGGCCTTCGACTGTGTGAATCATAGAATACTGCTGAATAAACTGCATACATATGGTTTCAGAGGTGTACCTTTGCTTTGGTTTCAATCGTACCTAACTGACCGTTCCCAAAGTGTCATTCTTCACAACGAAGCCTCAAAGCAATTAGCAGTTAAACATGGAGTTCCGCAAGGTTCTGTACTTGGTCCCTTGTTATTTTTATTATATGTAAATGACTTGATGCAAATCGATATTCAGGGACAATTCACCGTATTTGCTGACGATACGACTATTCTTTGGCATACAAAGGATTGCTCAGTATTGGAAAATATCATCAACGAGGACTTGAAGAAAGTTAAATTATGGTGTGACACCAATTTATTATCTTTCAATATCAACAAGACAGGAATGATTAATTTCAGATGTCATATCGATAATGTTTTCCTTGAAAATGTATGCCTCAGTAATAGAGATATTAATAAGTTTTTAGGGTTGAACATTGACTCCAAATTGAAATTTGAAACGCACATACTACTTCTAAGTAAAAAGTTAGCATCTGGCTGCTATGCTGTGAGGGTTACTTCAAATGAGTTGGGATTGAATGCCGCCAAAAATGTTTACTATTCACTCATCGAATCACATTTGCGTTACGGCATTTGTTTCTGGGGGACATGTACTGACCATTCATTCAATTCAATTTTCGTTTTACAAAAGAGAGCATTGAGATATATGTGTAAAGCTAGGGTGATGGATTCATGCAGATCATTGTTTCTAGTTCATGGAATATTGACATTAGCTTGCATCTTCATTTTGGAAACAGTTTGCTTAGTCCATAAGAAATATAAAGATTTCAGATTTGTTACACCAACACATAAAACCCGCAACTCTTCAAATTGTATCAAACTTCCCATTCCCACATCGGCTCTGACTAAGAACTCTTTAATTTATGAGAGCAAGAAAATGTTTAATCATCTGCCTATATACCTTCGGGAAATTGACAATGAACTTAAGTTCAGAAAACAAGTCAGAAAGTTTCTGATTGTGAAGGCTTATTATAGTTTGACCGAATTTTATCAAGATTCCTAACCATTTACTTTATTTTATATCTAGACTCGAGTCTAGATTCATTTGATTTATATCTAGACTCTAGACTTATATTATTTCATTTTATTTTATCTTCTTTCATTTTATGTTATTTTATTTATACATTTATGTTGTGATTTATTTTGTTAGTTAGCCATTGACGCACTATTTTGTTATATGTTATTTTATTTATTGCACTATTTTGTGATAGAGCTCACTGCTCCAAATATTGTTTTTCTCGACTTATAATATTTATGTATTTGTTATCCCAAACCTTTGATCATGTTTTCTTTTTAACCTATACAGGCTTTGTCAATGAGAATCACCTTTCTTCCGACAATAAAGCAAATTTTGATTTGATTTGATTTGATTTGATTTGAAAAATAATATCGCAATCTACGGTTATTGGATTTTCTTCTTTTTCGAGATTATTAATAATTATGGAATTATCTTTTGATTAAATTAATAATTTGTCAAAATGTGACACAAATTTGTCGGATTATTTCTAACTATTTCAACATTATATTCATTATGAAAACTGACGAGGAATATGGGTGTGCTACAGATTAATTAAAACAAAAAAATCCGAACATGAATTCACTATATCATTATGAAATTCCCAGTAAAAAGATTAAGAAATTTGCGCAGTGGCTGTTGCCATGGGAGACCATCAGCAATGGATTTCGGAATTTTCTGCTACGGGTCGGTGGATGGCCGACGGTTTACCATCTGCTAAGACGATTGGGTATCACCTGCCTTTTTCAGCTGTTTTGTTTGTTGCATGAACATTCCTTCCACT